AGATAATTGTACTGTAGTAGTGCCCATGTGTCCATTTCATTTCATGACTTGTTGTTCATCTCTTTCTAATACTTTGCAGATCACTTGTTCAGTAAATTTCGTCAGTATATCTGGAATTCCTTCGGTTGTGGCATAAAAAGATTCAGTGTCATTTCCACAGTACCCAGAGTCAGCCTTAAGCCAGTTAGACTAACCGAAAACTGTGGCTAACTGTATACACTGAATTCAGTCCATCTCAAGATGAGAAAAATAAGTAATTTCCATTTTAATTTAAAAAAGAAAAGGTGAATTTGGAGACATACTTTTGTATCCCTGATCCTGTAGAGAGAGGTCCTTTAGTAACTGAAGGTCCCACCAGTGCATTTGTGTGTGTTACTGTCCTGGTTTCAGCAGGGATAGAGTTAATTTCCTTCCTAGTAGCTGGTACAGTGCTGTGTTTTGGATTTAGGGTGAGAACAATGTTGATAACGCACCGATGTTTTAGTTGTTGCTAGGTAGTGTTTACACTAGCCAAGGACTTTTCAGCTTCCCCTGCTCTACCGACTGAGAAGGCTGGAGGGGCACAAGAAGCTGGGAGGGGGCACAGCCGGGACAGCTGACCCCAACTGGCCAAAGGGACATTCCACACCATATGACGTCATGCTCAGCATATAAAGCTGGGGGAAGAAGAAGGAAGGGGGGGACGTTTGGAGTGATGGTGTTCGTCTTCCCAAGTCACCGTCACACGTGATGGAGCCCTGCTGTCCTGGGGATGGCTGAACACCTGCCTGCCCATGGGAAGGAGTGAATGAATGCCTTGTTTTGCTTTGCTTGTGTGTGCAGCTTTTGCTTTCCCTATTAAACTGTTTTTATCTCAACCCACGAGTTTTCTCACTTTTGCCCTTCCGATTCTCTCCCCCATCCCACCGGGGGGGAGTGAGCGAGCGGCTGCGTGGTGCTCAGTTGCCAACTGAGGTTAAACCACGACAGTTACTGATGGACTGCTCTCTACTATAGGGCCAGAGATATCAAAACCTGTTGTAAGATTTGCAATTCTTAATTTAGTTTAAATCTAAATTTCTTACATAGCCTGTATTGGAAATTAACAGATCTGGACTCTAGCCTTGTATTTGCCTTCAGCAGCATGCTTTAGGTAGTGTATTGTCAGAATTTTCCCAGACTAACTTGTATTTACACACCCAAGTTTGTTCTCCCAGGTTCTAGAAGAAATCCCATTCAGGGATTAAGTGCTTTAGCTTACTTCTGGGAACACTTGTTCTGTAGCTTCCCTCCCAGAATCATTTACTAGGGAGACTTTTCTATCCAATGCAAAGACTGAAATTATTTCTAAGGGTAACACTTTACTTTAGTGTCTTGACTTAAAAATTCCGCTAGTTCAGCAGCATATGATGAGGTGGTTGAGTTCAGCTGAGCTGAAAGAATTTCAAGTAGTTACTGTCTTTTCAAAATTTTTTAGTCATCTGTATCACAAGGATTTTTTCAGTCACATCTTCTTAGCTTCCTTCTTCCTAACCTAAGTCACAATCTATAAATGCTTGGCGGTTGATGAAAGGCCAAAAAGTCTGTTGTTCCGTGTGAGCCCAAGCACACTGCTGGTACAGGTCTTCCGAAGCAATCCTCTCACGTTGTCCATGAATATTTGTTCAATTATGACTTCTAGTCACTGCTGCTGAAGGGAATGCGTGGGGTTTTCTTTGCTCTTGACCACTGCTTTTGACAGATTCAGCCTTCATTTTTTTTTAAATTCCGAAATCCTTAATACTAAAACAATGTTTGTATTAACTAAAACCATTTTCTTTGCTTTGTTTATTACAGTCAATGTAGTTACCTAAAAGCTCAGTCTCTCTATCCTTAAAGCCGCTTTGAAGGTAAAATTGATCTTCTTAGAATTATCAAAAATAGAAAAAAAGAGCATGTTGATTTTCACTTTATCTTTTGACCTTTCCATTGGAAGTGGGTCTGTGTGGTTTTGCAAAGTAACAGTTCTTTGATTATATTCTTTCAGTTTGTTACCATGGTAAATTTGGATCTCTGAGTTGTGGTCCCTGATCAGATCGGAACTTGCTTGTAAAGTCCCAGAGGAGGAAAAAAAAAACCCAACCCAAATCCCCTAAACCAAAACAAAATCATTGCACAATCATTCTGGCTACAGGCAGTTGCATATTCTTTTTAAAGAAATATATCTATGCATTTAAAGAAGAGAGCTGTAATTAGAAGAGAGTATTGATTCTCTGTCATGGTCCACATGCGAGCTCACAAAACTGAAACAGCACAGCTGGACCTCAGGCAATCAAAAATGCAGAGTGTTCTAAAGACTAGTTGGTGACCAAAAGTGTTTATTAGATGGGAGCAATTGGTTTTGACATGAGTCACAACGGGCGAGTCATCCTGTAATGGGTCAAAATTTTCTTCATCTTTTGTGGATGAGAACTGCAGTCATGTAAATTGCTGTCATCTACAAGTAACGTGGTAAATTCGGGCCAGAAGTCATTAGTAACTGATTACTTACAGTGATTTGCCTTAAGTCACTTCAGTGCTGTTCACTACCTTGCCACCCTTCCCCTTTGTCAGTGATTTAAGCTCAAGCAGAATAATTGAAAATAAATTCTTGAAGGTACTCTGCTAATCCCCAGAAGAATTGCAATATTTGTGACTATGTCAGAAGGTGCATTTGCTTCCTCCTGTTTACCTTTCCCCAGGCTGGTATGGGAGGCAGAATTGACCCCTACCTGTCAGCATGAATAAACAAGGCAATGACTCGGATCAAAATCCGAGTAGTTAATAGTAATTAAATTTGTTTCCTCTGATGTGTGTGAAAGAGTAGTTATTAAACAAATAGACATAACCAAGATCTCCAGAAACAGCAGACACTCTAGTGCAGAGCTACACAGCATTAAGGCACCTGTAAAATTCTGGGAGAGTCTAATCTTCCTATTGACATGCAGTTGTGAGGAGGGTAATACCAGATTTACTTGATTATTTGGTTGGTAGTAGTCCTTGATGGTGTCTTTAGATTGTTTAAATCCTGCGTAGCAGTCAGTGGGTATGGAGCTTCATGAGCGTTGATCAGTGGTCAAATCACCTCCTAGTGAAGTTTGTTTTGAGGAAGTGCAGGTCCCTGGCTTTTCTAAGCACATAGAACAGGGCTGGTCACAAGCAGAATTAAGCATGGCAGCTCTCCCAGTTCTGCCACTGGTGTTACTGCAATTTTTTGAGAACTGCTTACTAAACGATTCTTAATTACCAAGTCTTGGTGTGAAAGTATGCAGGAGTCACTGTCAGCAAAGTTAGTGAAATAATATCAAGCAGCACACTATGCTTTGTAGTGTGATGCATCATACCTTTTGTACGCTTGTGGTAAGTCATGTCAAGGTAAATTAATTTCAACAAATATCTTATAAAAACTTCAGGAAATCTGGAGGTATATTGGAAACTCACATGTTTCCCAGATACTGCATCTTGGTTTTAGCCTAGGTTTATAAAAGTTTATAATACAGTTTGTTATTTAATGGCAATGCAAATATTCTTTCATCAAACCACATATGGTAAAGCCTTGGTTGTGGCCACATTCTTAGTTTGCTACTCAACAAAATTAGAAAAAAGCCTCATGAGCAGAGCTTCTCAGCCATAAATAAATGGCATGAGGTAAAGAGTTCGGAGTCTGAAGAACCGGACGAGCAAAGCACAAACGTGACTAACAAATCAGCAGAAGCAGAGGAGAGCAAAGCTCAAGACCAGTAAGGTAAAACCTGCCATTTCTTGTGTTGTGTTTACTATAAGCCATAAATATCCCCTTGGATGTACTCAGAGCTCAACTGGACAAAGCCTTGAGCCAAATTCAATGCTGGTCTTGCTTTGAGCAGGGGATGGATCTGATGAGCTTCAGGGTCCTTTCCAATTAGACCATTTTGTGATCCCATGTAAGCAGCAGGGGTGGTAGGGATGGAACTGACTTGTTTTGCAAGAAGTACAGAGGTACAGTAACTAAGGTGCAAGGCTGCTGATGCTATAAGCTGCTACAGAGATAAACAATTAGGTGATTGTCAGAGTTCTGACAGAGATGTGATTTTGTCACTTCCTAGCTGGAAAGACAAAGGAAAAAATTCTCTCTTCTGCAAACGGAATTATACAGGGTGGATCCAGAATCAATTGTTGATCTTTGTTGGTTTTGTTTTACATTACCCTTTCTTCTAAATGAATGTGCTTCTACTTGGTTTGCTTTATATCCTGGGGTGCATCAAACACCATATAACCAGCTGGTCAAAAGAGGTGATTATCCTGCTGTATTCAGCGTTGGTGTGGCCTCACCTGGAGTACTGCGTGCAGTTCTGGGCCCCACAGTTTAAGAAGGATGCGAAGGTCCTTGAATGCATCCAGAGGAGGGCAACAAAGCTGGTGAAAGGGCTGGAAGGCATGTCCTATGAGGAGAGGCTAAGGACTTTGGCCTTGTCTAGTTTGGAGAAGAGGAGGCTGAGGGGCGACCTCGTTGCTCTCCACAGCTTCCTGAGGAGGGGACATGGAGAGGGAGGTGCTGAGCTCTTCTCCTTGGTATCCAGCGACAGGATGCGTGGGAATGGTTCAGAGCTGTGCCAGAGGGGGTTTAGAGTGGACAGTAGGAAGCATTTCTTTACCAAGAGGGTGGTCAAACACTGGAACAGGCCTCCTAGAGAGGTGGTCGATGCCCCAAGCCTGTCAGTGTTCAAGAGGCATTTGGACAGTGCCTTAATAACGTGCTTTAACTTTTGGTCAGCCCCGAATTGGTCAGGCAGTTGGACTAGGTGATCGTTGCAGGTCCCTTCCAACTGAAATAGTCCTACTCTATTCTATGCTACGCTATTCTATTCTATTCTAGTTTCGTATGGGGTTTCACAGAAGGAAGAAATAATTTGTCTAATGGGTATTAGTTTTAAGCTGTGTATTATTTCTGTTATTTTCTAATTGTCAATAGCTTTCTCTTTTAAGTTACTTCTAGCACTGGAAACAAACATATAGAAGGAAAAATGGATCCCTTTTGGCCATCAGAAACTAACAGCTTTCGACGTTTCACCCCTGAGTCCTTGGCAGCAATTGAGGAAAGAATTGCTAAGAAAAAAAAGCAGCAAGCCAAAGTTAACCGGGAGAATAAGGACAAAGGAGTTGAAGAACATAAACTTACTCCTCAGCTTGATCTGAAAGTCTGCAAAAAACTGCCGTCTCTGTATGGGGATCTTCCTGTGGAGCTCATTGGGGAACCCCTAGAAGATATTGATCCGTACTACAGTGATCACAAGGTTAAAACTTTCAAAAGCATTTTTTTATTTAGTTTTGTCTGCTGAACTCTTAAGAGATAGTAAAAGCTCTATTCAGGAGGTGCTGGGTTTTGATTGTTCTGTAGACAGATCTTCGAACATTACTAGCATTTTTTGGGGCAGGAGTGCTAAGGTATGCTCCACATTATGTAATGAAAAGGTATTTTAAGTTCCAGTCAGCAATTAATTAATTATGAAAACATGATACACTTGATAGATAAACTTTGGTAGGAAATACATTCTGGGATAATTGATGCTTTGTTTTCCAGAGCAGTTTCTATGATGTCTGTGGGGCTGAACTCACTGTTGTATAAACAGTGCCTGTCAAATAGTAGATCATGCTGGAATTGTTGACTTACTGCAGATGTTTTTGCTGAATTACAAATACTATACAAATAAGGGGAGAGATATTTGAGAGATTTCCAGTGCTCTGTGTAGCAAACCCATATATTTTCGTCACAGTAAATTAATCTTCTGTTGTTTTATGTCTCATCAGCTTTGTTTATTGTAACATATTTAAATTGCATATGCTCCATGCTATTGCAAAGTGTTTTGTGTTGTTGCCGATAGGAGTGTGTAAAGTAGATGCTCTAGGAATCCCTTCCAAATGAAACGTTTATTGTGTGATTGCTTACTGTTGAGGGGGACTTGACCTGAAGAGCAGAAGGTTCCATCCAGTCCTATGCGGCTGTCTTTTATGTATACCAGCAAGTCACTGGAATATAATAATTTAATCAGAGAACATGCAGAAAGCTTTGTTCCTCTAGAGATTTTTCTTCTCAAAGTAATCAAAGTGATATTCTTGATGAAGAGAAACTAAGGCTGATTCAGTTGAAGAAATTTAGATAAAAGTTAATGAACTGTGGTTTTGATTTAAGAGATTTCATTTTTACTTCATGTGGCAAAAGTACTGAGCTGCACCGACCTTAAGGTAGCTTAGAGGGAATTTACAGTGTTACTTGATAATTTAGAGATATTCCAAAATTAAAATTTTTGCTTTGACTGGACTGGATTCTGGCAGTCCTACACAGTATGTGTTTTGTAAATAATCTTTTGTAGCCTATAAAACTATCCAAGAGTAAGGTACTTTTGAGTATGATTAACACCATTGTTGCAGTCCCAGAATAGTATCCTTTAATTACTCTGGCCAAGTGAATATGATCACTTGCTGTTCAAATTCACTCTCGTTACTATTTCTTCCTCACAGGCAATAATGAATTTTTATGTAGCTGGTGTCTTTCTTTCAAAGTGTAGTACCATCAGGTCACAGCTCCAAGTAAGAATACAGGAAAGCTTTACTCATAATTGCATTTAGATATAGTTCTAGATGCAAAATTGAAAACCTAAACATTTAATTTTTGGGGAAAATTTTGCTTCATTAAAACATTTCATATACTATGAATCTTTTTTTTGGTAGACTTTTATGGTGATAAATAATAGGAAGACTATTTTCCGGTTTGCTGCCACGCCTGCCTTGTTTATAGTTGGTCCTTTTAATCCAGTCAGAAAAGCAGCAATTAAAATTCTGATCCATTCATATCCTTTTATTGGTTTCCCTTATTTCAGTTTTAAAATATACGGTACCATTTTCTGTCGTTCTGTTCCTCTATTCATATTAATGTAAATGTAAGCTCATGTGGCTGCGATAGAGATTTTTTTTAAAAAGTTACACTGAATCTTGTTTTACAACAGCCAAGATATTTACATGGTGTTGGTACGAGTAAAAATGTCAGAAAGCGCGTATTTCAAGTCAGATTTGCAGATACTGTTATGAAACAACATTTAGAGGCTACTGTATGATATTTTAGCCCTTTTCCAGAACTACTTCTAAATCTCTATTGTGGTCACAAGCTTAAATTTAAAAAAGAAACCAAAACAGTGACTCTCTAGTTATTGAAACATGAAGGATGTGATTTACAGCAATGCTTTGCTGAAAGAGTCTGATGTTATCCTAAGAAATGTATTTCACACTCAAGTTTAGAAAGTTCTGAAGAGCGACCGTTTTTTATATTTTTGCAAAAATATAAACATAGTTTGAAGAATGTAAAAATGTGAAGGATCGCAGGTGCAAAACCATAGGTTGAGTAGTTTCTGCTCTTTCTGCCAAACATCTGTTTTCATTTGGAATTACTAATTTGTAAAAATAGGTCCTTTTATGGGAACTTATGGCTGACTTTGAATGCGTATTCATGCTATTAGAAATTACTAAATTTGCTGTTCGGTTTCAAATAAACCCTAAATTTAAGGCCAATGTTTGTTTTAAAAAAAACCCCACTTTTATTAGGTGACAAGTGAACTTTCATGAAAGGATGTTTTTTCTTATGTATGTTTTCATTGCCTGCCACATAAAATGAGAAAGTTTCCTGAACTCATGGCAGAGCATAGGTGTCTCTTATAAGAGTGTATATATGAACTCCCAGTTTCAAAGAACACTGGTTATTGATAATTAAGCTTTTTCATCTGTTTTTCCTAGGCTTAAAACCCCTAATTATTATGGGGTTGTGGCCCATTTCTCTTTATTCCATGCTCCTGCTGGGAAGAAATGTAGGTTTCTAAAGTTTTACGTAACAGTAGACAGCAGAGGACTCAGGTTTTTTTTCATTTATTTATGTTCCTCATCTCTCCTGTCAAACATATTATGTCCCACTAATGTCCTAACTTCCAAAACTATTTCCACGTGCAGATAATTCATTGTTATTTTTAAATCATGAAGTTTAACCAGCTGAGCGGAAGTTTGATCTGACATCAGTTTCTTTGGAAAACAGATGAAAAGTCTTAAGCATATTCAAAACCAAAGTAATTATTTGAATATCTGTATGGTTTTTTTGTGTGTAAATCAGCAACTTTTCTGAACGTCATTGTTTTATAATATAGCACTTTTTCCTTAATTTATTATTCACATTATTTGTTGGCTTTATTACATGTACTGTGGCACTCAATTGTGCTTCCATGGCTGTAACTAAGCTTTCAGAAGCACCCAGCTGGACTGAGTAAGTATCTCGGTTGCCATTTGTTCACTCTTTTTCGAAGGATACTAACATGCTAGACTGAAAAATTTAAATAATGTAGTGATGTAATTCTGGGGCTTGAAAATTCTCAGACAGACCTCTGAGGAAGATTTAGGATTATTATTATTATATCACACAGTCTTCTGTGGAGCTTCAGTGCCTTTTCTTAGGGGCTTACACCATATGCCCTTTTCTCTACATTGGTTAATTTTGCCATCTGGTGTAACATAGAAGGTTGCCCCATTCTTCCTTTTAAGGATTAAGCCTTTTAGAGAGACCGTGCAGCAGGATTCTAACTTAATAGCTGTCATTCTAAGGCAATAACCTGAATGTCTGTTATGGCCGTCTCATGCAAAAAGTATAAAGGGATGAATATTCATTCCATTCTTTCTTGCTGTTTCCTGGGGACAGCCCTAGTTCCATTGTTCACATTAGGAGGCCATCTATTTATAATGTCTTGTTACCTTTTGTAATTGTGGACTGTATCCAGTGTAACTTGAGTTAATGTTCTGGAATTAAGTCTTGAAAATGTGCCTGAGGCCTCAGAGGTTCTATAATTTTAATTCCTCTTATTTTGGGGTAAGCATGGTGATAATGATAGCTTAATTTTATGTAGGATTTCTTTCAATTATAGAGTATTTGTCAGAATAAATGTATAAAATGTGCAAACTTCACAGGCTAAAATAAGTCTTTGCTGTTATTGTTCTGCCAAAATGTTCAGGCTTTGAAATTTTCCAGCCTGCTTTAGAACATAAACACATTCTTAAAAAATTTTTGTAAGGAAATGTGAGCTATCCTTCATGCAGAAATAGTATGGTACGCTTATGTGAACATTTGTGATTATAGATCTACGTAGAAATCTTACTAAAATTCAGGAAGGCATCTTCTTATACCCATGATGTTTCTGAAAGTAACGTAACCTGTCTTATTTTACTTCACATTTTCTACCTTAATCTCCATCCAGTGACTAAATCATAGAAAAGGTAGAAATGTGCCTGAATGTATCTCAATCTCATTAATATTTTTACTTCTATAACTTTAATATACACTTTCCTTCTCAGATATCTTTTTACTGTCATATATACTGGTGAAATACTGATAAAAATATTAGCAAGAGGATTTGTTTGGGATGAATTTACCTTTCTTCGAGATCCATGGAACTGTTTGGATCTTGTTGTTATTATCATAATGTAAGTAAAACTCAGTTGTTCTTTTACACTCGAGGGACAAACACAGAGATAAAATGCTGTTTGATATGGCTAAAGTTCTTTAGAGTGATTGGCATCCTACCTGCTTAAGAGTTAACTGTGGTTGAATCACCCTTTGCATATCTGCAAAAAGAAAAATAGTTATAGACGTTAAAGCAAGACCTAAATGCAAAGCTCATCTTAGAAGTGTTTGATTGTTCTCAATTTAATACGTATTTAAATTTTGTTAAGAGGCGATTGCATACACAGCCAAAACCAAGCATGCCTCTTTATATTGTCTTAGTTGTACTCTGGATCAGATGAAACTCATTTGAGAAGGATCCAAAGTGGATCACAAGGTGTTGAATGACATGGTGATAAGTAGCAGATGAAATCCCAAGAATGTAAAGTGATGCTCAAGGAAAAACAGACCTAGCTTTACATACACAGTTATGGGCTCTGAAATAGCTTTCACTTGTTGGGAAGACGATGTTGGAGTTAAAATAGACAGTCTTGTGAAAACACCACTCCAGTGTGCAATCATGGTCAGAGAAGGAAATAGAAAATGAGGACATTACGGGTAAGAAATAAAGAAAGAAGCAGAACACATAGTTATTTCACTGTGCGGCCTGTATTTTTCTTCAGGACTATATGTAGTTTTGCTCCTGACATCTCAAAAGATGACAGAATTAAAAAAGATACAGAAAATATGTATATCTTGTATTCCACATAATAAGAAAATACATAGAGTAGAACTCATGAAAAAAAAAAAACAGAGCAGGAACATGGTTGAAGTCTGTGGCACAGAGCCAAAAAGAGAATACATAATTTATTTTTTTCTCCTACGACGAGAGCTAAAGGCACCAAATGAAGTTGTCAGATGGCAGAATAAAAAAAGAAGGGAGTAGTTTTTCACACTACTTGTAGGCATATTCCCATAGGAGGCTGTGGATGCAAAAAACTTAGTTGCATTCAGAAGACTTCTGGACAAAATCCTGGATGAAAACACATTAAGGGTTATTTTTAGCACAAAGATACTATGTCTTGTTCAGGAAGTCCCTGAGCTATAAATTTGCTGGAAGAATTAAATCTGGGAAGCATCACTGCCTTGATTCTAAACTTCCCTGTAAGCATCTGTTGTGGGTCATTCAAGGGTAATAGGCAAGATGGATCACTGCTGTGGTCAATTTTAAATTCATATCAAAACCAACTAGCTAGATGGACAAGAAATGAGGAAGAAACCAAGTCAGAATTTGCATCTCAAATACAGAATGTTTATCTCAAAAGCAAAATAGTCTTACTTGCAGCAGTGAACAGCTTCACTCGTGCCCAGTCTCAGAGCTTTCAAAGCAAATTTCTGTCATTTAGCATTTCTGAATAGCTTTCAGTTGTCTTGTTCTAATTTATTAGAGGTGTAGAGTAATTTAGATTGGAAGGGACTTCTGGACATAATGTAGTCCAGCTCCATGCTAAAAGCAGGACTAATTTAGATTAGGTTGCTTAGGACCTTGTCCAGTCAAGTTCTGAGTTTCTCTAGGCATGGAGATTCAGCAACCTCTCTGAGCAACCCCTTCCAACCACATTGCGGGCTTTTTTCTCCCAAAGTTCTAATTGAAATGTCTTGTGTAGCAACTTACATCTGCTGCCTCTCGTCCTTTCATGGTGAGTTTCCAAGACCAGCCTGACTCCATCTTCTCTAAGCCTCACACTGGGCAGCTGAAGACAGCAATGAGATTCCTGCTCCGTCACCCCATTAGCCTGTTCTTCAGACTCAACAAATCCAACCCAGCCTAACAATTTAACTGTCTAATTGTCTTACTGCCCCCCTTAGAGCCCTGGTTGGACCTGCTCCAGTATGTAAAATGTCTTTCTTGCTCTGGAGAGCCCAAAGCTGGACACAGTACTCCAGATTCAGTCTCAGAAATCATTTCCTTCAATGTATGAGCTAGACTCCTCAACACATGAGCTAGACTCATGCTAATCTAGCCCAATATGTGATAGGCGTTCCGTATCACAAGGGTGCTTTACTCATTCATGTTCAATCTGTCTGCCCTGACTCCAGGTCCTTTTCTGCAAAGCTGCTCATTATCCAGTCTGCCCTCAGCTCCTGCTTGTGGTCACACTGACTCAGGTGCAAGACTTTGCCTTTGCTTTTGCTGAACTTCATGAGGTTTATACAGCCCATAACTCCAGTCTGTCAAGTTCATTCTGCAGAGCAGCCTTGTCACCCAGTGCGTTGACTGTTCTCCCCCCAGTTTGGTATTTGTGAACTTGCTGAAGGCAAGCTCTATTCCATTCTTCAGGATGTTAATGAAATTGTTAAACAATATTGGCCCCAGGACTGACCCATGAGGGATGCCACTAGTAACCAGCTGCTGGCTGAACTTTGTCCCTTTGATCACAGCACATAGATATTTCATTTCCACAGATTTTGACATTAGACTCAGGGACCTGGGAGGCCTGAGAGCAGACCTCACTGGTAAAGACCAAATCAAGGCAGTATTGAGTAGTTTCAGCTTTTGCGTGTCCTTTGTCACTAGGTTCCCTGCCTCCTTGAACAACAGGCTCACAGTTTTCTTAGTCATCTTTTCACTGCTGATGTACTTAAAGCAGCCCTTCTTGTTGCCCTTCACATCCCTTGTTAACTTCAACTTCAGCTGAACTTTGTCTTTCCTTGCTTCATCCCTGCATGCTTGGCAGTGTCCTAGTGTCCCTCCCCAGAGATCTCTCTGCTTCAACCTTCTGTGCACTTCCTTGTTCAATATGAGATTAGTCAGGAGCTCCCTGTTCAGACAAGCTGGTTTTCTGCCACATCCACTTGGCTTTCTACAGAGTAGAGTGCGTCGTTCCTGTACTTTGAAGAAAATACCCTTGAAGATCAACCAGCTGTTCTGGGGGTCACTTTTCCCTTTGGGGCAGTTTCAGATCCCTGAACATGCTGAAATCTGCTGTCCTAAAGTCCAAGATTTTTATCCCGCTGTTCATCTTTCTTTCTTCTCTCAGGGTCTTAAAACTCCACCATCTCAGGGGCTCCATAGCAAAGGCTGCTATCAACTGTCATATCCCTGACTGGTTTTTCCTTATTTGTAAATAATAGGTTATATACTCAGATGTCATCACACACACATATATATACATACGTGAACAAAGTATTCTGATGGGTAATCTATAAACCACTAAGGAGCTTACACATTGTTAATCATCAGTAACTATCAGGTAGTCCAACAGCTGTATGAACAATTTCATTTTATGGTCCTACTTCCCTACCCATACTCCTAATTCATTTGTGTTCAAGCAGATATATAGTATCTCCTGGTTTTTTGGGTCCTATCATGCAACAAATAAAAGTATTTGGAAATTAACTCAACAGTTAACTCAAGTGCAGTTATTACTTAAGGTACTTGAGATTTATTGAATCTTACAGGCTAGGCAAAGCCATAGTGTTCTGATCTATTGCTGACAAAAGTCGTGCTTTGAGTGGGAGGTTGCCTAGATCATCTCCAGAGGTCCTTTCCAACCAATGTTTCTCAAATTCTGTTATTGAGACTTTTTATTTTAAGGAATTCTGTTACCAGTTATGACCTTGTCATAAGATGAGTCACAATTCATGTCCATTCTGACGTGAAATAAGTCTTATAAAATATGGGGTAACCTGATAAAGTGCTGTATAGAATGTGCAACTCTTAAAATCCTCGTTTTCTGAAATTTTCAAATTGTTGAAATGATTAAATTGAAACTAGTTTCAATACTTGGGTTTTTAGCTGACTTAAATAAAAGTTAGAAAGACAGCCATGCGGTACAGAATTAACATATTGTAAACCTAGTTTTGCTCAGCTCCCTTCTCCTAAAGTATATGTTGTGTAGTTTTGAGATAGCTGCAACATATACTTTCACATGAGCTAAATCAGATTAGCCTCAGTATCAGAGGGTTTTGTATTTATTTGACATTTTGATGAATAAACACTTCAAAAGTCAAGCATCCAAATCCACACTAAGTAAAAACTTGCCATGTTTCTTTTTAGAGGCACTATTCAAACGTCTCGTTATTTTATATCAATACCTAGAAATGGATTTAGATTTCTAATTTAGACATCTACCTTAGGACATATTTGACCTATTTATTTTCTATAACTTATTCATTACTGTGTGCTCAATATGCATATGCTCTGAAAAGCTAGGTCTTTGTAATTCAGTTACATGGTGGTTTAATTCTATAGGTATGTTAGTATACGGAAAAGTGTGGGCAAGGTTTCAGCTCTTCGAACTTTCAGAGTACTGAGGACTTTGAAAGCTATTTCAGTAATACCAGGTAAGGAACAACATATCTTACTAATTTTCTCTCCGCTTCAGCAGTATGCTATTTGTAATTCCTCTTCTCCTCTTGTCTTCAGTTTTCTGGTCACTTTTTGTGGCGGTTAACGGGATCCCAAGGTGTGACTGTTTTGCAGTCTGCAGTAACTCTCAGCAGCATCCTGACAGTATTTTTTTATCATCTTTCCTCAAAATGATTTTGACGTAGGCAAATTTTTGTATTTTCTGCTTTTTCTATCCCATCACTAATGTTCAATTTTACTTAGCTCAGTGCCTTTGTCTTTTTACTTTTGTCTTTCCTGAGCAGCACGCACCTATTCAATAGCCTATGATGGCTATACCACCATATTTCTGGTTTCATGTTATACTTGATTAGCTTAATCTTCTATGGTTTATTTCCCAGAATGCTGACTTCACAATATTTCAGAGTTTTTAATTTGTTTGTTTACTGAACACAGCCACTATCTGGATTGAGCATAATTGTTTCATTAACAGTATTTTGCATATGCTGTCCAGATATTTGATATTTTTGTAAGTCGTGCTACTCGTTAGGATACCAAAATATGGATTTTGGAATGTAACTGCGAAAACTCATTTGAAATTCTATAAATGACTATATATCCCTTTGTCATAATAATATATTAACTTTACCATTTCTATGTAATTACAAATATATTTTTGATTTTGCTATGGAATTTTAACAGGAATGAAACATAGGGTGTGTTTAATTTTTAATGTCAAAACCACCCATCAATACTTTTCCTTTCATATCCACCATGGAGAACAGAGATTAAATGTAATTTTACTTTTTTCTTATGAAAGACTTCTAGAAAAATCCTGGATATCACTCTCTGCCTATGTCATATTTCAAATTCAGTTATTCTGCCAGAATATTGGTCTTCATTTTATATATAACCCATTTTCACAGAATCACAAAATGGTTGAGGTTGGCTGGGACCTCTGGAGATCATCTGGTCCAGCCCCGCTGCTTGAGCAGAGCTCCTTAGAGCTGGTTGCCCAGGGCCATGTCCAGACAGCTTTTGAATATCTCCAAGGATGGAGACTTCACAACCTCCCTGGGCAACCTGTGCCCGTGCTCAGTCGCCCTCCCAGGAGGAAAGTGTTTCCTGATGCTCAGAGGGAACCTCCTGTGTTTCAGTTTGTGCCCATGGCCTCTGGTCCTGTCGCTGGGCACCACTGATAAGAACCTGGCTCCATCCTCTTTGCACCCTCCCTTCAGGTATTTATATACATTGATGAGATCCCCCCTGAGCCTTCTCTTCTCCAGGCTGAACGGTCCCAGCTCTCCCAGCCTTTCCTCATGGGAGAGGTTCTCCAGTCCCTTCGTCATCTTTGTGGCCCTTTGCTGGGCTCTCTCCAGTATGTCCACGTCTCTCTTGTACTGGGGAGCCCAGACCTGGACGCAGTACTCCAGATGTGGCCCCACCAGCGCTGAGTAGAGGGGTATGATCGCCTCCCTCGACCTGCTGATAATAGCTTGCCTAATGCAGCCCAGGGTACCATTCACCTTATTTGTGGCGAGGGCACACTGCTGGCTCATGTTCAACTTGGTGTCCACCAGAACCCCCAGGTCCTTTTCTGCTAAGCTGCTTTCCAGCTGGGTGGTCCCCAACATATATTTGTTCCCTTCCAAGTGTCATAAATGTTCTTTTGCTTTTAAACTGGTGACATCTGTAAGGCATTATCTTCTAAGACAGAATTCCCTGAGGTCAGCAGAAGCTATCCTTTATTGTAGTGTGTATTTGGCACAATGTGAGGTACTTGGTTAACGTTAATCAAGCACAGAAATCTGTCCATATTCATTAAAGCTCCTCAGAGTTTGCTTAGATGCTATCTTAATTTAGAATTTTAAAGTTAGCAAAATTAGTGTTAGAAGGAAGTAAAAGTCAAATAAATTATGATTAGGAAATTTAAGTAAAAATACTCATTCTATACCTTATTTTACCTTTTTTAATACTCTGAAGTTACAAAACCATTTATACTGATTGTTTTTAACATACTTGCAACTGTTGTATATTGTCATATGGGAACGCTACCGCATTCCTCTTCTCATTTTGCATATTATTAAATCTTATTTTTCTAGGTCTGAAAGTCATCGTAAATTCACTTATTGACTCTGTTAAGAAACTTACTGATGTGTTCATCTTGACTGTTTTTTGCTTGAGTATATTTGCTCTGATAGGCCTCCAGCTTTTTATGGGCAATTTAACATCCAAATGTGTCCTCAGTAATACTGCATATGATGACACATTATGTAAGGATGCCAAGATATATGTACCAAATGATGAAGGTAAATTTTATTCTTTTCTCCCTTTACATAATCTGTGTATCTTCCTGTGTATGTCTTGTTTATTCACAGAGATGTTAAAAAATAGTTGCATGTATTTCTCACAAGAAGGTATGTCCTTCCATTTGCACAGGTAGTAATATGAAGTCTCTGGGACAGCTGAATGTGAGATTAGTGAATGTGGGATTTGGAGAAAGATTAGCAGGCTGTGGGATAGAAGCGACTGAGTTTTCTACAAGCGTTTGCTTCTTTACCTGTGCACATTGCACAGGGATCCTAATTTTAAGGATACTGCACAGAGAATGATTTTTTCCATTACTAAAGCTATATCATTCAGGGGTTTTGCCTACTTCTTTCAGAGATTCTTATTTTTACCAGAGATCAAACAAAATCTTACATTGTAAGTTATGCAGTTAATAATTTTTTTTTTTTTTTTTTAATTGCCATAGGGACAGATCTGCTGAGAAACAGCCCTATCTGCCCTTTGTTGTGAAAGGAGTCTTTCACAGAGATGTGGTCCATCAGGCTGGTTTTTTTAAAGTGCAGCAATGTATGGTTTACTGTCAGAGTGCTGTAGGAACTGGCAACTTCTGATTTTATGATTCCTTGATATTTTTTTTATTAGATATCTGCTACAGAATGAATAAATCTTCTGAAATACTGCTCTGTGGGTTCAGTTCAGATCCTGAGTAAGTGAACAAAACAGTTTTAGTACTTGCTTATTTTTTCCTCCAGATGTACTGTGGTTTTATTTTTGGCCTAAAGGAATGGTGATGATTTTTCAGGAGGGTGGAATGCGTGTGTGGGGGTTATTAAATTAAAAACCAGATATTTCACATCAGAAAAAGAATGAAGTAAAGTACTAGGATGCAAGCAATTATGTATGTGCTTTGGTGCTAACCACTGGTAATATAATGGTAATGTAGAATGATATAAAGGAGGAGGGGAACAGATCGGTAAAGAGTTGTGAGATATTAATAAACTCTCCTCATCTTGATGAATTATTTAAAAATAAACATATTTTCATTTTTTTCCCCTCTCTATGTATTTGTTTGAATTCATCCTACATCAGTGGAGAGTTTCTGTCTAGTCAGAAACTAGACAGAACTAGAGTTTCTGTCTAGTTTCTTTGACTAGACAAAAGGCTTTCTAGGATTGTCTCATATAAATCAGCCCTTCTGGCAGAATTATACTGGGAAATAATGAAATGGACTTTCAGATATTGAAAAGTCCTGAACAAAATATTTGATGTTGTGTACTGGGTGCTTTCAGGTACAATCTAATACTGCAAGTAAGTATTGTTTAACATTTCTTTTGTGGCTAGCAAAGAGTGCCCAGAAAACTATAGCTGCAAGAACATTGGGAAGAATCCTGACTTTGGTTATACAAGTTTTGATCATTTTGGCTGGGCCTTCCTTTCTTTATTCCGTCTGATGACACAGGATTGCTGGGAGCGTCTCTACAGACAAGTAGGTACTTTTATTACCTGCTAGAATGACTTTAGACATGCAGTTTAGTGCTTTATGTCCACTAGAAAAATCTGCACCTGTTTTAACATTACGGATACCAAATTTGTTTTAAAATCAACAAATATTAAGGAAGTAGCTTCAAGTGACTAAGGTGTAACACCTTCTGCAAGTGACATTGGATGGGAGCAATCCTGCTGTGAATGCTCATAGTTTTGTTGGAGAACACAGCTATGGAGAGCTTGGGTCAGTGATTAATAGTTAAATGTTAATATAAAACTACCAAAGGATTGGGGATCCAGCTAGTGAGCTCACTGCTGCTGCAGGGGGTATGAGGACTTGCTACATACTCTCTTTCTCTTCCTTTTAAGTCCTGACTCCTCACCAAAACTTTTGGTTCGACATATAATATACACTTTCATTTCAGATAATTTTTGACAACTGGTACTAAAAAAATTGGAGTCTTTATGTTTTGATTCAGAGAGTTGAACGTAACTTTTAAATTCTGTTTTTTGACAAAAATGATACAAAAATTGCATGTAGAGAACTCACTGGATCCCTTACATCTATGCCGTGCCTTTGCTAGAAGGGAATTGTCCTCTGCCTTGTTCTATAACTTTCATATAATCCACTTTAACTTTTTTCCAGCAACCTTTATTAACTGAGATTTTTTTTTAAATGGATACATCTTTTTGCCATTTGGAGGTCACGTGGTTTTTAGGTTTTAATGTCTCAGAGCTTAATTTTGAGCCATCTCCTCTCCTGCCATTTAAAAAAATGTAAGAATAAGCAATCAGTCTAAATATTGCCCCTGATTCACTAATTATAGCATCTTTCATGACTGTTTAGATAATCCTAGCTTTCATCCTTATTACTGGGCTTTATTAATTTCTTTTGTAGTCACCTGTAAATCTCTTTACAGCTGAAGTTGTCTTCTCATAACTTAAACTCTGATCATCATTTGCCCAATTTGCTGGGAGATAATTAATTTAATTTTAAGAATGGATTTTGTTAATTCTTCTCTGCAGTACATGGCATCATTTTGAATGTTTGATGGTCTGTTACGTAAAGAGAAAACGTTGTATGATCACAGAGAAGTTTTTAAGAGCTGAAATTTATTTACTTGAAGGCCAGGGGAACTCCTGACTAGATATCTTTCTAGATCCTTCTGTTGTTTAAAGAAAACAGTGCAGTATGTTGACCTTTTGTATTGTATAGGAAAATAAATTTGTTTCAAATTAGTTTGAAATTCTATTGTAAATGTTAGTTTGTTAATAATTTATTACAACCTTTACCTTTTCCTCACAGACTATCCGTACATCTGGAAAGAACTATGTTTTCTTTTTTCTGGGGGTCATCTTTTTATGCTCATTTTATCTCTTCAATCTGATCTTGGCTGTGGTAACTATGGCATATGAAGAGCAAAACAGAGCTACTCTTGCTGAAACAGAGACAAAGGAAAAATTACTTCAGGAAGCCCAACAAATTCTAGAGAAAGAACGGGTTTGTAAATTATTGTATATAATATGTGGTTCCTTTTGTTTTCTTCTGTTTGTGAATTAGGAAAATAAGGTTTTTAAATAAACGTGCTTTTTACAGTACTTCCTCACAATTCATTTCTCTTTGTCTCTTTATAAATACATGTGTATGTATATATTTAAATATATATAAGCATTTCTGTGATACAAACAAACAGCATGAGTCCGAGTTAAATCATATTGAGTTTTAGGATTTGCAGACCTGACATTGTATAGGAGTGGCTTGCTGGCAAGTGTGTAGCTTTTATGGTATTGCATAGGTGCCTGCGCTCTCTGGTTTGCCCCATTCTTGTACACTACCACTACTGCTGTGTACAAAAAATTCCTTTCTCTGGATATTCCTTCTTGCTGTTACTGTGTAGTCTGATGAAGGGAAGTATGAGTGGATAAATTTGCATCCATAAGAAAAGTTGTAATTTCTACAGTTCCCTGAGATTGGAAGTTCTGATGCTGATAGATTTCAGGATTGATTAAAAATGCAAGCTTTCTGAGAGCCACTGTGCTCAGCTCTTTAAGGGGTGTCATGCCTCTTTTTGAGTGATTGCATGCAGAAGGTCTACCAGTTGACGAGCAGGAATAGTCTTTGGCCAGGCTAATGCCATTAGTTCCATATTAATGTAGAAGGACATACAGAGACTGCATTAGTTTCTTTGCCGTTGGTTTGAAGAGCTAATAGACACACGTCAGACTTCTACAGTGTTTCCTCTTGGCAAAGTACTGCCTAGATTCATTCATTCCTTGGCCTGTAGGGGACCAGGGATCACCTTGTTTTTATTTTATTCCTGAGAAGTGAAGCTCTGAGCTGAGGCAACAAGATAGATTGAAAATTATTGTAAGACATATTTTATTTTCTAACTTTTTATAAAAAATACCTCTGATTTACTGCTAACAATCAGAAAAGTCAGCCTTGTAAGAGGACATGCAAATATCCTCTAGCAGCTATCCAATTTCATCGTTAAATGAAAGGCATCACTGGTTTACCAAATTCCTCCTCTACAGCTGTCGACAGGCCTGTGATGTTCCTCTGTCCAAAATTCCAGCTTGCCAAGCTTTACTTAGGCTTTTTTTTTTTTCTATTTTTCTTTCAACAGGATTAGTAGTTAAGAAAGGTTTAACATTTTAGGATTTAGTTTGAGCCCTTAGTCGTCTGTTGTCTTTGGGCTCAAGGTCCTTTCCAAAGCAAGAAAAGGAGAGTAAAAGGATACACCTTAATATTCTATAATTCAGATACAAAATACAATATCTGAAGTGGCAAGGACAAACTTTAATTATAGTAGCTGATAAGTAACCGTGCTTTATCTTTCAGTATTGTGAATAGCATTTTGTACTCCTATCTTTTTATAGTAATTTAATATTTGAAAGGTAAGAATTATTAGTGCAAAGCATTCAGATAGCATAATTAAACTGTATATGATCATAGTCCATTTGCCTTGTATTAATAGACCGGCTTTTTGCTGTTTCTTTTACAGGTGTTGGCTGCTGGAGAGAGTAATAAGGCCTTACATGTCAGATCTGAAATGTCAGTTGCTGACTTGAAAAATTCAAAAGAAAAAGAGATGAAGAAAGAAAACCCTATTTTAAGACAAAGCTTAATTTTAGGTGATCATGGCAAAGAGGAGCATATATTTCATTCACAGCCTGGTCGCTGCCACAAGAAGCTTGTAAGTAGTTGAAATAGAAGGTATATTCTTTAGACTTGCATGTGATATGACAATTTGATGAGCAGAAAAGCTTTCTTTATTTGCAATTTGTTTTCCTCTTCCCCTCCCCCGCCCCCACTTCTTGCATGCATTGGATTAACTTGTTTTTTAAAGCAATCTGAAAGTTAGATTTTGGGACCAGAGGAAGACGGCACTATATGGACTTGAAAGGAAAGTTCGAAGTGGCCGTCAGTAGCATACTTACACGTTAAAACCCTCTGCACTTACAACTGTGGTGAAGATCTGTTGGCATCTCTATTGTGCTGCATAAACAAACATATAAAATCCTGTAAGTTTTAGAATTTCCCTAATGACCTAACCTTCCTTTTTTTGTACACAGAGCTAATTCTCTGGCCTAAATATTTAGGGTTGGATTTAGTTCAGTATGAAGACTTCTAACATTAGTGATTCACTTGTCTAACTATAAGCATCTAGTGCCATTTTAGATGTTCTTTAACAGGTTGGATATCCTGGATATCTTTGGCATCTGTGACACATCTTCCAGCACTGTGTGGATATCTCAAATACATTATGGCATCTCAAACGTTACTAAATTCCTAGATTTAGGCAACTGGATTGTGCTCCAGGTTTTTGTTTGCAGGTGTCTACGTGTGATTTAGGTTCTAAACTCCTGGAGTTGAATGGAAATTTAATTTTTTGAGTCACAAATTGATACCTAGTGACATTAGAGGATTTCAAGAGTGTTACTTGGCCTCCACCTACTCTACAGAAGGGTACAGACATGATGTGTCAAGTCTGCTTAGTCTGAGACTGTGGATGTCTCAGATACGAAACATTTCAATAGACCTTCTCAAATGGCTTCAGACACTTATGTTTAAGTGAATCAAACTTATCAAAAAAATATGCATCAATTATAATGGGATTTTAGATGCATTGTGCAGATGGACAAATTAAATGTCTGAATATTAGACTGAATCCCACATGTGCTATTTCACATCCTGATTACAGCAGTGACTTCTGGCTTTGGAAAAGATCCCCCTGCTCATCACTCCTTTCTAAATCCATTAAGAAACTGCTATTAAGACTTGTAATTCTTACTTTGCTTAATCTTGTTTTTCTTGCCAGTACCTTTGACACTGGCAAAATACCAGTCATGGACAGTCCTTACTATCATGTTACCTATGGTCCAGCATCCATGTAGAGTATAGATTTGTTGCCTTTTCAATGCTTAGTCCATGGGTGTATCTTCACTTGGCATGACCACTGCGTGTGTGACTGCACCTGGGGTGTTGTGTCGAGTTTTAAGCGCTCCAGTAGAAGGATTACGATGAACTATCACGCAAAGCCAGAGGAGGCTGCCAAGATGATTAAGGGGCTGTAGCACATGATCTGTGGGGAGGGGTGGAGAGGTTGGGTTTGTTCAGCCTGAAGGAGAAAAGGGAAAGGGAAGAATCTGATTATTGCTGTCTACTAATATCTAATGGGAGTGTATAAAGAGGAAGGACCCAAGATCTTCTTACAGGTGCACAATGGAAAGTCAAGGGGAACAAGTTGCAACAAGGGGAATTCCAGTTAGTTATTAAGGGGAAAAAAAAAATCACTGTGACAGAGGATAAACATTATAACAGGTCATCCAGAGAAATTTTTGGGTCTTCATTTTTGGACATATTCAGAATGTAGCTGGAAAAGGCCCTACAGTTGAAGTTTGCCCTGCTTTGAGCGATGGAGTGGGAGGACTCCAGAGGACCTTCCCAACTTTGGTTTTTCTCTAGGTCTATGTAGACATCTACATTTAGATGTCTGTATTTAGGTATTTTAATCTTGAGCTGAATCTTCTGAAATAATTCTCGGGCAATTATCCATATTACTGAGTTATTTTCAACAATATCAAAAAAGAAAGCTTTTAATGCCCGTATACTGGTTCAGCAACAGCCATTCTCCAGTACAGGGTTGTGACTAAGACCAAACAGGGTCCACTGGAAAAACAGATGATGCAAAAGTAGATGTTTGTGTCCAAATAACACCTTGACTGAAACCCTGGTTCCCAGCCACACCTTTGATAATGCCGGCTGGAATTTCAAACCAGTCTTCATTCACCTTCTCAGATGTGTTTCTTCCTTCCATTTCTTTGCTGACCATTTACCATGACTGAGCAGGGTCTCTAGATGTGGAGAGCTGGAAATCATCACCAAAACGTAAACTGTTCATTTTGATACTATCCCTCACCCCTCTGCCTCCCAACATATTTTCTGTGATCTGCCCCCCGCTCTGCCCCCATGATAGTCTGTTCCATCTCTTGGCAGATTCTCTCTTGCTTCTGGGAGAACATCAGAATTGTTCCCACCCATCTCACAGAAAATGGAAACTTTCCAGTAGCAGAGCTAAAGGAGTAACGGCCCAACTTCTTTCCTTCCGAAAAGTGTCCTTGTAGGGGAGTTTTTATTAGACATGTCATCCTAGCTAAAATGGATTAGGTTTTCATTCTGGCAGTCAGCATGGTCAGAATTTCTTCTAAATTCTGTCATCCTAGCTATATTAAATTCTGTGTCTGAGCTGAAGGACTCAAAATCATCCACTTGGTAGCAGCTGCCATCTGTCATCTCCTTTAGTATAGTATTTGCTTCTTATAGAGTGTCATTAACATTTCCCGGGCTGTGTTAAGAATATTATGCCATTTTGTGACCTAATTTGGTTCGGCTGTACTTAAAGGGAACACTTTGTCACAGTCCATGCTAGTGTATTATTATACCTACTGAGGAAAAAATAAAGTCTTTCCATAGCAGGTGTCATATCTTCGGTAAGTATAGAAAACACCTCTTATGGCTGATTATCCCTATTTAATTTTTTTCTTCTAAGTCTGTGACTGTGTTGCAGGAGATGACTGAGCCAGGACATAAATTTGGTTTAGTTCCTAGACTTTACTTCTCCAAGACTGCAAAATCTGCACAGGTTGGATGCCAAAAGCAATCTGTATTTTTACATTTCAGAAATAACTTTTTCAGACCCTTCCCAAGGTCCCTTCCCCTCTCTATGTGCAAAGAATGGCAAAGTTATGAATATCTCTGTATAGGAACTTTTGGAAAGAGATAGTAGATTGCATTAGAACCTGGTACGAGAAATGTTAAGTGGAACCCACTTTTCGGGAGTATATTCTGCAGAGTTTAAACTACATCGCTGTGCTTGCTAACGGATGCCTCTACACTATCTGCGTGAAGAATTCCAAGACCCAGCTCCAGGTAATTGTGACTGTGTGAGAACCTGGTTGTAGTCTTATGCTGTCTTACACATACTTACAGATGATCATTTGACAGCAGGAGAAGCTATTTGTCAATCATGAGGGTTCTTCAAGATGCATAGTCCACCTGTACATTCACTTCCTCTCACTCCCCTACATCACAGTTCTCGCTTTGTCCAATAAATGTTGGTATTTCATAGTTTAAAAAAAAAAAAAAAAGGAAGGCCTAGAGCATGATCCAAGCAGTGTGAACTGCTCCAGTGTAGAGTTCTACCTCAGTCAAATAAATATCATCTGCAACAAACATGGCAGTTTGTTTCATGTTATGGCAACTACTGGTAGTACCAGCTCTGCTGCAACTGAGGACTCTTCAAACAATGTACTCTCTACTTTAATCACAAAAAGAGGCTAAAGATGCTAAGTCAAAGAGAAAAAGGCGTGTGAGATAGAAACTTTTTGGTAGGACATAATCAGTTCTATAAAACCTTGAATGGACTATTTCTCTAGTGCGTATCCCTATTTTAAATCCCAGTTTTTCAGAGGACTTCTCATCACCAGTTATTTACTTCAGCTAAAGATAGATGAGCAGCAGTAACCGATTCAGTGTTGATGAATACTCTTAACCTTTCTAAAAACACTAACTCTGAATGATTCTGAACAGACGTGAATTTCAACAAGAAGACTGAGGACTTTAGTCAGGCTGGCACACAAATTTTTCTAGGTTTCTTTCCTCTGAGACACCAAACATTACAGAAAGGAATGAAAGGACAAGTTGCACTGGTAACTGGGATGTGATTAGAATAGTCTAATTGAGTCTTTTATATTCTGAAAAAATACAGATAGAAAAACGAACACTTCAGCACTGTATTATAAATTCATTTTATATGTCTATTCTGTGAAATGTCCTTTGCCTTCAAAGGTAAACACATGATACTGTTGTATTGTTTTGTTTTACATTCTTTCAGCAAGGTAAGGCTTCATTACAATGTGTATTTAAAAAGGCATATTTATCTTAAGCTGGACATAGTTTTTATATTGCCATTTCTTCATATTCCCTTGTTATATTATCTTCTGTTGTCTTTCTAACCAAAGAGGCAGGTACTGCTGTCCTATGAATTGTCAGTGGACTCTATTAATGATCCTTTTCGAAGACAGAGGTTAATGAGTGCAGCCACTGTCATTACAGATAACTTGCGTAAGTCATTCTTTAGTGTTTTTCCTATGGTGATTGTGTAACTTGACCTAAGAGATCAAAATGTCACAAACAGTCAGCATTATTTTAAAAGTCACTAGGGGAAACTATGCAGCAATCATATGTAAATTTCAGTAAAATAAATGTTCTCATATCTCACGTAACTGCAACTGTAACTTGCAATAACCAAGGGTAAATCATACCTGACCAACTTGATTGCCCTGTAGAATAAAATGACTGGGGTTTGTGGATGAGGGGATAGCAATGTTTTAATTTACCTTAACTTTAGCAAGGCTTTCAACACTGTCTCCCACAGTATTTTTTCATCCAAGTTAGGGTGTTAGGGTCTGCATGGGTGGACAACCAGCTGGACAAAAAAAAATGGTTGGATGTTTGGGCTTCAAGTGTCTGGTGAACAGGTCGTAATCTACCTGGAGGCAGGAAACAAGTGGAGTACCACAGGGTGTATCCTAGGACACGTCTTGTCCTAAGTGACCTGGAGGATGCAACAGAGGGCTTGCTCTTAAATTTTGTAGATGACACCAAATTGGGGGGGGGGCACTTAATACACTGGAGGTAAGAGCTGCTAGCTAGAGGGACTTAGGCTGGAGGAATGGGCCAACAGGAACCTTATGAAAATTCAACCAGAACAAATGTAAACTTCTGCATATCTGCAAGAACCTCTTGCAGCAATACAGGCTGGGAACTGGCTGGCTGGCTGGGAAGCAGCTCTGCAGGAAAGGCCCTGTGGGTCCTTGTGGGCAATGAGCTGAGCGTGAGCTGGCAACGGGCCCCTGCAGCAGCGATGGCTAACAGTATCCTGGACTGTATTAAAGGAGCATAGCCAGGAGAAAAGTGGTTAACCCCCTTTATTAAGCACTTGATAGACCACATACTATGCCCAGTTTGCCCCCCAAGCTCCCCAGTACAGGAAACACATTGAGTTCAGTAGAGGGCCACAAAGTCAGGGGCAGGAGCACTTGCCCACTGCTGGGCTGGTTCAGCCTGGAGAGAAGGTTTTGAGGGGAAGTTAATATCAGCCTTCCAGTGTGTAGGAAGACCTTATCAAGACAATGGAGCCAGCTTCACAGTGGTGCACTGTGGGAAGATGAGACAACAGACATAAATTGAAAGAACAGAGCTTCAAACTGTGTGTAAGGAAAGTTTTTACCATGAGGACAGTCAGACAGAGGAACAGGTTATGCAGTCTCTGACTTCATGGCTGACCCTGCTTTGAGAAGGGGGTTGCACTAGAGATCTCCTGAGGTCCCTTCCAAGTTGACTTATCTCATAACCCTATCCTCAACTATGGACACCGAGATATGGGACACGCCCTTCATTTTATCCTGGACTTCTTTCAATCCATGCTGCATCTGTGTCTGTGCAGATGCAACTCAGAGAAAACAAGTTGTCAGTTTTTCCAGAGACAGTGAAGTTATTTCTCCTTGTTTAAGAAACTTTAGGCTGGTTCAGTAGATCCTTTATCATCCTTCAGTAGTATAATAAACATATGAAGAGGTGGGTAATATCACCTATTTCTATAATTATGAGATTTGTTGATGGTGACCTTTAAATAGCTTGTGATTAGTTTTTGTAGAATGAGTGAAACAATATTTTTCAGTGCTGCCATTCTGCTCATGAGATTGATTTTTCTTTTCAATCCTTTCTATGACTGATAGTCTTTTTCTTCATACTGTGAAATTCCACATAAGATTATTTGTATGTCTCTTTCTCTTTTTGTCATTTAGAACTGCAAAAGTCAAAACTGAAATGCCCTTTATTATTGAAACATTTTGCTCAAAAGTATCTAATTTGGAATTGTTGTCCATTCTGGAGAGTAGTCAAAGAGAAGGTGAAATTGGTAATTTTGGATCCATTTGTTGATCTCTTAATCATGGTTTGCATTATTGTGAATACCTTATTCATGGCTCTGGAGCACCCTGACATGCCATGGAATTACCAACAAATGATTTTTGTAAGTGACAAGGTAAGTTAGGTCTATGTTAAAGTGAATATGGAGTTATAACCCCATATTTATACTGGGGCAGTCCCATAAGGAGACATACTTTTTCAGTGACTTTTTGCTGAATTTCTTTTTCCTCTTTCCAGGTCTTCACCCTGATTTTTACAGCAGAAATGATCTTAAAAATCATTGCTCTAGATCCTTACAACTATTTTCAGCAAAAATGGAATATTTTTGATAGCATAGTTGTTATGATTGGCCTAATAAGCTTTAAAGAAAATCTGTCATCATTCAGGCTGGTAATTATTTCTTTATTGTTTTTTAAAGGTACATGTGTTGTATAGATTTGTAAAAGATTACAGTGAAATACCCTCAAATTATATTACTGATGAATCTGTTAAATCATTTCTCTTTGTTAGTACATCATAGGCCAACATGAATGTTTAATTAGAGCAAATATTAAAAGAATGTTAAAGAATACATTCAATTTGTTTATTATACTGTGTATATTGGATACTACAAATCCTCTGGCACAGTGTGCCCCCTTGGAGATTTGACCTAGCAGAGAGTTCACTGGTTCCGTGTTAGGTCTGTACAGTGGCACTGCTTAACTACGTTTCAGATCTTCAATTAGGAAAAGATATTATCTGAGTGTTTTCATGAGCTTAAGGATAGCAAAGGTTCCTTCACAGCTTTTCCTTTTGAGTTGAGATTTGTAAAATAACGTAGCTTTCCTCAAGGTTTAGACTTGGCCTTGAGGTCTCCTCGAGGCTTTCCTCCATCTTAGGGAAAAGGAGGAGTAGCTCTGAGATGTCTATGTATAATGTTACTTTTTTTGCTTATGTCCTTACTGTGTATTTAGAATGCTAAATTTACTAATTACTTCTAAAATTCTTCGTAGCTTTTCAGAGTCATTGCACCTAGAAATTCAGTTGAATTCTGTTTCATCTTGTGTATCATGACTGAGATTTTAACAGCACTGAACGCTAATTTGACTAAAAATGTCCTTTTTACTCACGAGGGTGTATAGAATAGATCCCATCTGGCTTTTCAGATCTTCTTTTAAGTCTGTTGCGCGAGAGGTAGAAAAAATTCTTTTCAGTTTTTGTCTGATAACATTTGATTTAGTCCAAAATGCAGACATTTCATAAGCCTCGTCCAGGTACCTGTAAGCCACTTGATTATTATTACTGTTATTGTTATTGCTATTAACACTAATAGACTTACACATGCTCGTATCTAACAGCACAAACAATTTGCAGCTTCCTTTGGCAGTTCTCTGTTCTCAGTAACATTAACCATCTGAGCTTAAGCACAGCGCTTTTGGGTTGGAACCATTAAAACCTTTCTTTGGGGGGAAAATTATGATGGTGTTACTGAAGTAAAGACAGCATGATAAATGCAGGGTCTGGTTTTTGTGTGTGCTGTGCTATCTCTGCAGTGTTCGCCACTCACATTGTTCTCTTGTGTTTTACTTACAGCTCAGGATCTTCAAATTGGCAAAGTCCTGGCCAGCCTTAAATACTCTTATGAAAATAATTCTGAACTCAGTTGGTGCTCTGGGTAACCTCACTCTGGTTTTGATTATCACTGTATTTATTTTTGCTGTAGTAGGAAAGCAGGTTTTGGGCAATTATTATGAGAAAAATTACTCTAAAATAAACATCGATGAGAATTTGCGCTGGCATATGAAGGATTTTTGTCATTCATTCCTGATTATATTCCGAATATTATGTGGAGAATGGATTGAAACCATGTGGGAATGTATGGAAGTGGCTGGAAAAGGGCTATGTCTTCCCATTTTCTTGCTAGTCCTGGTGATAGGAAACCTGGTGGTGAGTTTCAAGCTATTTTTCAGTCCCTGCTGAATGCATCCAGTTACACTGGCATCTTCTTTTCTGAGACAAACTTTATCATTTAAAGAGTATTCACATTATTCTCTTTTCTGGATGTTACTTAATATATATATTTTCTTCTGCCTTTTTTTCCTTTTCCCCGTCTTTCTCTTTCTCACACAAGAGGTAGCTGCTAAGCAAAATGCACAAAATTATTCCTTCTACCCAGAGTATAGAAGTGCAGTGCTTTTGATAATTTGGTGTCTAATTTCTTCATCTTTTGTGTTGCTAGGATCAAATAACCAAACTGTTTAGTGCTTTTAATGCTTACCAACTTATCCTTGTATTATCAAAAGTTTACAGTGCCCAGATTTTTTTGGTTTGTGTGACATATACTAGATGTAATGTATATTTACTGGAAGACAAAATCTTTTTCATCGGCTTAGTTTACTGGTCTATACGAGATCCTTTTTGATGGTGGTGGTATTAAAATTTATCTTTGCCAGCTGTTTTTCAACATCTCTACCTCTTCATACGTTATGAACATCAAAGCATGTGAAAATATATTTGATATACCCAAACCCTCACTTCCTTTCGTTTTTCTCCTGCCTTTCTTTCCGGAAGGAGCCATATCATACTATATTAATATTCCATTATAGTAAATAATTTCATTGCAGTGGTTGATGAAAGCGAGATTGAGATTTTTTAATCTAAGGAGGGTTTTCTGAAATGTCTTTTCTGTTAGCAGTAGTGTCTCCAACTTACTTTAACTATTTTAAGGTGCTCAACCTATTCATTGCCTTGCTGCTGAGTTCATTCAATACTGACTCCTCAGTGGGACAAGAGGAAACTGGACAAATGACTAAATGTCACATTGCCATTGCACGGATTCACAAGGGCCTGCAGTCTGTGAAAAACCGAATTTTGGATCATTGTGTCAAAATAATGAACCGAAGCCTCAAAACAACAGCCAAAAAGAAGACGGTGAAAATTTCTGCCAAAGACATAGAGGAAAATAACTATGCCATGACAGATGTCAGAAAGGATATACACAGCAGTTGCTTTGACATTGGGTATTACAATACCGAAGAGAGTTCCTCAATAACAAGGAAATATGAAGAATTTTTAACCAGTCATAGTACCTGTGTTCCCATTGCAGTAGCAGAGACTTATAGCGATGAAGGTGATGATGACCACAGTGTATGCACAGGAATAGAATACAGAAAACAGGTAAGGAATACGAATATTGGAAAAATTATTGTAACTCACATCTGTAAATATAATCTTGAAGACTCAACAGTAAATGTTATCCCTTCTGTCATTTCTGCCATTTTACTTTCTTTGTTCTTGTAGTAGCTTCAAAATGCAAGAGCTGCCAAATAGTCTTAGTTATTCAATATGATGTTGAATATCCACTTTTTCATCATTCTCCTCATTGATGAGTAATTCTGCTTCTGTTTGTTTTGTTTCAGTTTGTTGCTGTCAATTACTTAAATGAAGTTTGATCAAGACAGGCGTTCTTTCTTTTTGTCTTCTTTGCCTTACAGATGGCACCTGGAATTTTTGGAAGGCAGACCTCTTGTGTTGCTTATATGTTGCTTCTCAGTGCATGGATTCCAAAGGGAATGCAAATAAAAGCTTCACCTAAAAAAAAAAAAAAATTCTTAATGTTTTTTTAATCCCCTATTCACCTCTGTGATACTTTGGACTCCCCTTTATATCTCTTGATTTTGTTGTGTTGGGCAGGATTAAGCTCAAGTCTTAGGCACTTAAATACAGATACCTAAATATGGATTTCTGCATGTGAGTGAGGCATTTATACTGCCATGATGGTCAATAACGGTGCAATTCATTTGCCTGTACATAGGTATTCAGGGATATTTGAGATACTTCAGGTGTCTGTCACGTCCACATGGGACTGACAAATAAGACGGAGGAGCTATAGGAACTCTTTTTGGCACCTGGAGGCCAGGGGTATGTAGAAACACCTCAGATGACACTAGGTATCAGCCACAATTAGATTACTCCATTTAGATATCTGAATCTCAAGATTCCACATACTACTTACCTCATAGATGTCAAGTGCCATTTGAGGTGCTGGATTATCTCATACGGCTTCTAAATGCACCTCCAAAAAGGTGTCTGTCAGTTCTTGTGAATGCTGTGCTGTATGCAACTATTCCATGTGTATGTCTTCGGTACCCCTGGGTATTTTAAAAGACACTAACCAGTTTAGGGCAAGCAATGGAATTAAACCCTTTGTGTCCTCACTGCATTAAGTAGCGTCCCTTGCTGCATGTCTATATCGCTTGTATGTTGCCCACTTTTGCACTTCATGTTTTCTCCCATTTTGCTTTCTTGATTTTTTTTTAACTCGTTTTTGCTTTCTTCTCTCAAACGATGTGTTATACTTTTAATAAAATGGAATTTTACCCGATTACTTTCCTTTGAGGAGGGTGATGTGTCTTAATGAAATTCTGTTTGTGACAGCATCGTTACTTTTATTATACGTGATGTGATTGCTTAGAAGGATATGAATGCTGGTTTGAGTATGATGATCTATCTGCATGAATGCATTTTAGTTCAGAATCATTGGGTCATCCTCTGAAATTCTTATTCCCGTATAATTATTTTTGCCTATAGAAGGTAAGGGTGATACCTTTTAGCCCATTGACAGTACCGCAGCTGTGTACGAAACATCCAGTAGTAGTTTCAGCTCAGCTCAGCACACAAGGACCTCAAGCTAATTTCTTTTAGAAGCCTGCCCTATTCACAGGCAGTAGTAATAAGAAGCAGCAGACTCCAATATACCTTCCCTGCAATCTTTTGTCAGAAGGTGAACAAAAAAAATATTAACCCTTCTCAGACCCATCTAAAGGAAGTACCAATAGAAGCTGGCTTATACAACAGCAGAATGAGCTGTTTTGCAGGTTCTTCACATAAAGCAAGATAGAAAGCCTCTTACAGAAAGTAGCTTAGGATTTTCATTTAAGTCTTTTTATTAATTTCTGCTTATTTCTCCAGCTATCACATTCAAGTAGGAATGAGCTTTTCTAAGATGTTGCAACTGTGCTTTTTTTCTTCATAGGTAAAAGTGATGGTGTAAACGTGTTGTAATATGGGGTTTAGCTCATCTAAAAAACACATCCAAATGTGTGAACAGCAAGCTCGGGTGGATCACCAGGCTTTGATGACTATACTGTACCTAGATTAGCTTGGTAAAGATTGTATTTTATGAGTGTCAGTTGTGTTATATTGTGATATCACCATATTTGAAATCTATCAGAACAGGTATTTGGGCTCAAAGTGCAGTTACTTAGTATTATGCCACGGCAGGAATGTCAAAACCAGGTGCTATTTTTGGATGGATTATCACATGGTCAGTGTCTAGGTGGACTGGTAGGATCCATTTTCTATGTTTTTGGTCATAAGAGGAGGCATCGTCAGTGGAATATCTTTGGACAAGTTCTCAAAGAAGCAGAAATTGCTGATCACCTTAGAATCATCTGTGGCTATTTGAAATGCGTTGTCCATAAGCATTTGATGGCAGAAATTCTTTTCCCTCTGCAGTGGAATCTGGTATTGCTTGAAATTTGTAGTGGCAAAAGGACTGAGAGCTGGTTGGGATCACTTAGCTCTTCTGCCTGGAACTAGAAACATGAGACTGTTGGGGTCCAGCTGCAAAGGTTGCTACTGAGCCAGTACATCAGAACTTAGTGAATTGGATGCAGGAATCCATCAGTGGGCTAAATGTAGATCTTGAGGAATGATACGTTTCCACAGTATAGCCACTGGACCACAGTATTTGAAATTGAAGAAGAAACCATTCTTTTACATGCCTTTTAGGGATATCATTTAATTATCTGTAAAAAGAGAAACATGCTAAATTTTGTGGATGCTTTAGATTCTGTTAAAGAATTTTTACTTTTAAGAATGACTGTCAGGAAGAAAAATGTGGAAAATCAACTGTTTTGCATTATTTCATGCAGGGAGACAGATTAAGACATAGAGAGCAGTGCCAGAGTTCAAGCAGCTTCAGTCAGATTTCTGGGACGTCTGAAACTATAAGTGGTTTTTCAGAAACACACCAAAAAAAAGAGCAAAAAGAGGTAATTATAACTTCTATCATCTTGTGGAATATGCTAGACATCAAAATTTTCACAGCGGTTCTCTCATTCAGCAATGACAGGACAAGCTGCGGTTTTCCAAAGAGTAGCAAGTATAATCCCTGTGAAGATGGTATATCTCTCTAGAGGTAATAATAGTTTAAAGCATGGAGGTTTGTCTCTCATAAACAGCCATGGCCAACAGTGTAACTTAATATATTAGAATCATAGAATCATTAAGGTTGGAAGAGACCTCTAAGATCATCGAGTCCAACCGTCAACCCAACACCCCCATGCCCACTAAACCATGTCCCTAAGCGCCTCATCCACACATCTCTTAAATACCTCCAGGGATGGTGACTCAACCACTTCCCTGGGCAGCCTGGTCCAATGTTTAACCACTCTTTCAGTAAAGACATTTTTCCTTACATCCAACCTAAACCTCCCCTGGAACAACTTGAGGCCATTTCCTCTCGTCCTATCGCCAGTTACTTGGGAGAAGAGACCAACACCCACCTCGCTACAACCTCCTTTCAGGTAGTTGTAGAGAGCGATGAGGTCTCCCCTCAGCCTCCTTTTCTCCAGGCTATTGTACAAAATAAGTAAACAGAAATTAATCAAGAAACACACTTACTTTAAACATATCTGATACATACTATTCATTTTTACAGATAATTCTGTTTGCTGTCATCCTTGGATGCAAAAATGTATTCTCTAGAAATGGTTCCCAAAACAACCGTACTTTTTCTGGTCTAGAAACTTAGCTTATTCTAATACAGTACAGTTCCACATCAAAAAAAGGTAAAGAATCATGGCTTGCCTCCAATGACCCAGAAAATTAAATGGAAGTTCAGCAACTTTCTGGATTACTCCCTCCAAAAGTCAAACCACTTTAGCATTTTCTGGTTTTAGATAAAGTTGCTAGAAGTTTTGTCTGTTATACATTATTTAATTATATTTATATACAAAATAATATTAAAACTATTAAATTTCCCATGACTTTAAATAATTGCATTTTTGTCTGTGTTGAAGATTCCCTAGGACCTTCAGTTAGTGTAGAGCAGCATGGCTGTCAACGGAGACAGTTCTTCCTTCTGGCTTCTCATTCTTATCCCTATCCTCGTGCCCTCCCTTTCCATGTCATACAAGACACTTACACTTTGTGGCTGATAGATTGCTTTATTCCTTTTTCTTTATACTTGTTTTCCTTATTGTCTTTAGTTTTGTAGGTGTGTAGGTTACCTACTGGTAACTACAATTCTTTGAGATGCGTAGACCATATGTACATTTCTTTCCTGCTAGGCCTTCCCATTTTCAAGCCTTTTGAGACATGGTTTGTATGTCTGAAAATGAGAAAAGAATTGGATAGGCATGAAGAAATCAGAGTTTTCTCTAAAGTTGTAGCATAATATAATCTCTTCTAAATGTTTTCTGTCCTGCAAGTCCAATGTAGATGATTAGAAGAAACCAAGAAACTTATTAAATTAAAGCCATGGAAGCAAAGAGTAGGGATTAGTCTTTTCTGTCCTATTATCTGTAATTTTATTTTGGTAGCCTAGCAACATTAAGATAATTTATACGCTGCAGATTTTTTTTGGGGGGGGGCGATAAGTTTTAATTTATTTTAAGTCTGGTAACCTTATTAATGAAAAGCAAATAAATTCTCTTCCTTGCCCTTCTCCCGTGCAGAAATGTGATGCTGGTAGCTATTCTGAAGCCAGCACTGTGGACCCAGTTATTCTTCTGGAGATGTTTTCCCAGCCTAAAACGTTGCACCTACCTAAGGACTGTTTTGCGGAAAGTAAGAATCTTTTATGTATTGCAGTGATACCAAATGAACCGGTATTCAAAGATATCAGTTTGGAACATTTCCAAATTGGCAGAAACTGTTTGCCTGAGACACTTGTTTATAAACATAACTCAAATAAATACACCTGAAGGCAGCACAGAACTGGAGTAGGGTTGGGATGCCTGAACACAGGCATTTAGTACCATATGAGATGCCTGAGAGTGTGCAAGACAACTGCATGAAGCTGACGGAACTGTCACAGAAGCTGTAGAATATCCAGAGAGGCCTGAAATGGTTCTAAACACCTGTGTTTAGGTAGCAAAATGCCATCTTTGGAGTGTGATTCATTCTTATATTGAGGCACCAGACTGTAGGTATTGTATATGAGCAAAGGCACTCAAAGCAGTTCTGAAGGGGCAGCTGGAGGTCGGTTAGGATAGGTATGTCGGTACCTGGCGTCTTAAATGGCACTTCAGCTGAATTTGTCTGAGCTCCCAATACAGTGGATGAATATCTGGTCAATACAGCTAATGGAATTCAGAGGACTGTACCGCTCATCCCAATGTGGACACCTGTCTGATGGCCTGAACGGCTCCTTGCCTCTCATGGTTCAATTCTACTGCCTTTACAGATTAATGAAGTGTGTTTCTGGTGCAAAACAGTGAACAGAGAATCTAGTTGTAATGTCTCTGCAGTGCAATCAAGTGAAAAAATCAGTAGAAATAATAATTTACTAAACCACTGGTAAGGTAATACCTCTTTTCAAAACAAAAAGAATAAATGCAGAAAATAAAATAAGCAAGTTTTTTAGATGGAAGTAGTGGCTTTTTTCTGCAGAAGGGCTTGTGAGCACAAAGCTTCTTTGCTTTTTCCATGTATGAGTTGCTCTATTAAAAGAGATTATTTGGCTTTTCTTTAGCTTTAGATCATTTCAGCCACAGCATCGCCCCATAGGTAAAACAGCACATTCTTTGTATAGTCTGTAGAAGCTCGTTTTAAGATGTCTTGCACTTTTTAGATTCCATGTCTCCACACTTTCCATGGAACCAATATGCTGTTCTTTCTCTTTTCAGGTTGTGTTGAATGTTTCCCGTGTTGTGTAGTGGATATCACTAAGTTTCCAGGCAGAACTTGGTGGAAATTTAGAAAAACCTGCTACAGAATAGTTAAACATAGCTGGTTTGAAAATTTTATAATTTTTATGATAATATTGAGCAGCGCAGCACTGGTAAATTTAATTTAATTTCTCAAATTTTGAATTGATGGTTGTCAGTAAAGGAAAAGAATCATATTATTATATTTAACTTATTTCTTCCACTCTCACAGTCCTTTCCTCAGGGAGAGACAGGAGTATAATAAATGTATCCTTTAGAAGTTTTATAAGGCCCTCCCCAGCTTGGACAAGATATTTAAATATATGGAATCATAGTCTTCTTCATAGTTCTTCATGGAACATAGTTCTTCACACGCTTGTGTGCTTAATAAGAAGGCTAAACCAGGGTCTGAAATGACTTAGGAAAGCTTAAAAAAAAAAAAAGTACTTCTAAATTTGCAAAGCAGACTAATTGCTCAGTAAAAACTTAGATTTAAAATCATCCAAACATTAAGATGATCAGAATCTAAAAGTGATTGTAAACTGGTAGGTGACTTAATGTTTCATTGCTACTCTGATTATATCCATTTCTACTGAAAAATAAGGGAAGCTTTATTTGATTTGAAAACATATTCACTAAGTCTACTGAAAGTAATTTGTTAAATAAAACATTATATAGTGCAGAAGGAACATAACCAACTAGTGTGAAAGTGAGCTATATGGTACATGTCAGAATTTTCCAAATAAAATCTGTTCTGTGTGCATTAAGTTTAGGTTGTCCACTGAACCATAGATTTGAACTGTCTGCTTTAAAATTTGCATGGCAAAATCTCCAAGGGAATTCCCTGGGATTCCCATGAGGGCTTCTCTGTACTCATGGGGAACCAAACTGAAGTAAGGAAGGAAACTGAGTTATTATTTAATGTACTGTAGGATCTGGCTAAGTTGAACACAAAACTAGTTGGTATCCAGATGCAAAATAACAAAACAATAACGATTTCTTTTCATCAAAGATGTATTGTGGTGTTGAGAACTTTCACATTTCTGAGATACTGTTGTCCTCTTGCAAAAAGGGACTTGTCTGTTTTCTGTTTGCTTATAAAGATGTTTGCTGATACGGAATTTCCTGAACCAGCTAGAATGAAGGGATACCGTACCGTCAGGCATGTCCATGGCTTGAAAGTAAATTAGATGAGATGGTGATCATAGAAAGAATGCATAGAAAAGCACGTGGTGAGTGCTCAGAGCAAAGGAAGAGTTAGTAGTTAGAAGTTTGAATGCTAGTGAACGGCTGGTTTGACTAGTGGATGGAAATCAAGGTAGCCAAGGTTAAACAGTGAAAAAGATAATGCTAATTATCAAACTTGCTCAGAAAAAAGGTAGGAAATGGTAAATAGATTTATGTACGTGAATGCTGGGAGTTCTCAATTACCCACAGTCAAATTACTAGTCCTGTGGACACAGGGACAGCTCTGCTCTGTAGACATTTCTCCTACTTGTAGCACAACTGAATGACCATTGCTTCAAAGACCACTTAGCTCCAGAAGCAGTATTACTGTTTTCTTACACTGCAGAGCAGGAGCGCATTCGTTTTACCAGATTGTTGGTAACTATACATAGGAGCATCTCTGCCCCATGTTTTTTCAGTGGGAATATAAAACGGAAACACAGCAATGATTTTACATGAGTTTCAGGTCTCACTTGATCTAAACACCTGGTTATGCTCCTGCTTCCTCTTATCAGTGGCCCTTTAGAGCGGGTTTAGCATGTCATAAGTAGAGGGGAGCAAATCAGGTCTGCTATAATACCTAAATAATCATCATCTCCCAGAGTACTGGAGACACATAGCAGAGGCACGCAGGTGTTTCTGCAAGAAACATTTAATGGTTTAATGTGACTGGTGATAACTTATAACTGTTAAGGCCCCCTGTAGCTGAGCTAATTCTTGCAAAACCCACTGAGGTGTCTTTGCTACCGTGCTCCCCTGAACCAAAGGCCTGTGGACCATCTGGGTCAGTCTCCCATGTAATACTGCTATTTCCTTAGAGGGTGTTGACTGTTAATGAACTTACTAAAAAATAATAACAGAATAAGAGATTTCACGGTCAGGTAAGGAGCTGTTAAGTGAAGAGCTGATGTAGATTGAAACGGGATATGGATTAAAGTTTTGACACCCTCTGTTTGGTTCCTGACCTTTGTCACAGACTACAGCCATGTGACTTTGGGCAAATGAATTGATCTCTCTATGCTTCATTTGCGCTTTCATAGAATGAAGATATTGTGTTCCGACATCCCAAGGATGTGAGATGGTGTATTCCTCTTGAGAGGAGAGACTCTCAAACTTCTCATTTCAACTTTTTTACTCATGTCATGGCAAGAAGGAAAACAGAAAGTTAGCAACTGCAGAGGCAACGTCAGAGAAGGGGACACAGATTTGAATGAGGATAAGAGAAAGGGAAGTTGTTAAATGCCTGATGTGCTCCAGAGACATGTTGAGCTCTTAAGACAGAGTGAGAAAGAGAAAGAGACAAGAAGAGATTGAGTAATTTATATCTAGGAATTGTAGGGTAGGGGAAAGGGTATGGTACAGGGTGGCTTGTGATATATCTACATAAGTAAGAAAAATTTTAAGTAAAAGTAATGACAGACATGGATTTGTAAGGGGGAAATAGTGGTGGTGAAAATGGATGGATAGATCATTAGAAATGTTGGCAGCAAGAGAGAAATGAAGTGGAGATGGAGCTATAAGGTCGGGGAGAAATGGATGAAAGGAAAATAAGGACATTGCCAGAGGCTTGGTGAGGAAATAATGCAAGGTGTTAGAAAGAATTGGGAATAGATTGGCAATATCAAAAACTTAAATTAGCAAGGCAGCAAATATATTAAACACAAGCGAACAATGACGTAAACTACAGCAATCAAGAAAACATTTTCCTAAACCCTTACTGACATCAAAGTAATGTCAAGGTTTAGGTGAAAAAATGTGAATCTCCAGGAATGAACAGTTCCAGATAAGGCGTTTGTCATATTTTTTCATATCTGTATTACAACTCTGCAGGCTGACTAAAGATGACTCCTTTGGAAGGTCTACGTCTGAAAGACAGTGGTTAATGTGTTTAATTCAAGCTTTATTATGAAGAATTTTAGACCAACACCGTCAAAATTATCCACTAACTTGGGAAGCCAAGATTTTTGTAGCCACAGTTGACCCTCATCAGATATTTTTTGAAGAAGTGTTGAGCGTAAACAACTGAAAGTATGTCATTTTTCAACCAACCTGAAAATGAGATTATGCTTATTTTACAATCTAGGCTTTTACTTCTGAGTATAAAACCAAGTGGTCATTGCCCATAATTTAATATGAAAAGGTTATAATAAGCCAAACTGTGTATTATTGTGCAGTTTTAAAATAATTTTCCATAAAACTACTGAACTGTTTTAAAACTGAATTCTGAAATTCCAGGCATTTGAAGATATTCACCTGCAGGAGAGAAAAACAGTGAAAATCCTCCTAGAGTATGCTGATAAAATATTTACCTACATCTTTTTTATGGAGATGCTTCTGAAATGGGTAGCTTATGGTTTGCACAGTTATTTCACAAATGCCTGGTGTTGTCTTGACTTCATCATTGTATGTGTAAGTATTATATTCAGCTTGTCTTACATTTTGAATTTTGATATTTTCTATATAGAGAACTACATGTAAAATGAGATTATGAATAAACAGAAGTGTAAAAGACAGGTTCCAAAGGTGAAAAAAATTGCAATCAAAAGAGACTTGAGGACAAATTTAAATGGAAATTGTAAGTAATAATCAGAAGTTGCTTAAGAACATTTTATTAGGCATCACTGTCATTGAGGACCATGTTGGTTATAAAAACCATTTTGAGCATAGAGGCAGAGTGCAATTAGCGAACAGAAATAAAACTAAAGTAAATTAATTAAGACAATAGAAAAATGTGAAGCTGCTGGCAGCTCCGGCATTTAGAAACAGAAAAAAGTAGAGTTGCTTCCTTAAAGGAGAAGAAATTTAGATGGTAAAGGGAGTGGAAGAGTATTGTTGGAAAAATTATTTACCAGAGAGTTAAAGATGTAGGAAAGTATGTTTTGCTTTGCAACCAAAGAAATCCTAGCAACCCTTTATAAAGCTGTAAAGACAAATGCTGAAATCATAAATAGTGAGATGGAGGAAGTGTAGTGTTCAATGTATAAATATTTATTCTGAATTCAGACAAAGTTAAATAATACAATCTTGCCATATAAAAATGAAACATTTTTGCTTGTCAGCAATACACTGGGAAGATACTGAAGTTAAATATTTTTAAAATAAGAACATCTAAACAGCTGACTTCCAGTAACATCAAAGTAGCTGTTTGGTAGCCTCTGAATAGTTAGCATTGAAAGTTATGAAGTACTGGGAAATTTCAACAGAAAAACCTGATGTTATGACTATTTACAAAGAATATATAGTATGACTTTAGCAATTACAGTTCTGTAATATTAGTAGCAGTGCTACCCAAAACAGAGGAAAAGCATGAAAATATCCAAAGGCTAGACAACGAGACAACAAATTCAAATAGGAAGGAAGAGGCAAATCATGAACAGTGGAAAAAAACCCTAATTATTGAAACAATTTTCTAATGTTTTCAGTTCATTTTCTCTCTTACAAAAATTTAAAATTAAGGCTGGAAATCTTTTTAAAAATAATTTTTGTTTGCACATCACCATCTTAAGTTATGGTAAGGAATTACTGTATACACTTCTGAGAATAACTGTGCAGAAAATGGGAATATTTTATTTGATTTATCCTTTCTGGTCTTGTAGTGTATGAAACTACCATAGTTACCAATTTGGTTGTTATACTAGTATTTAAAAAAAATTATATGAACTGTTTTGGGGAAAAAAAAAAAAAGAAAAAAAAAGGAAAAATACGTGTTTCAAACTAGAATGAAAGAATTGCATTATTTTAAAAATATTAGGAAAGAATGAAGTAAAATTATATTACGATAACTTTGAATGTGTATTTTCTTCATTTGACTTACTGGTCAAAGATACTATAACATTCAGCCTATGATTGTCTACTGACACAAATAAAATAAATGTTTGTATACCATTTAATAATCTCAGCTTCAATTCAATGAACACAGCTGTCATTTGTTTCCTGGGGACTAAATACTGTTTCCAAAGACACATCACCTTGTTCCTCTGGGAGTGCCCTGAAATCTCTCAGGACTCTTAGAGCATTGAGGCCTCTACGAGCTTTGTCAAGATTTGAAGGGATAAAGGTAAGGATATTGGGGGGGTGTGTGTGTGTGCATATTTTGTAATAGCTGCATTTGAAGTTTTTTGTGAAAATTACAGCTTGAATCTCTGTTTTGGGACTTGATGGCATTAAGATGGTTCAGATTGCCTACTTACATCTTACGGTTGTTATTTTGAAACAATACCTAACACTTGCACAAAAATCTATAAATACAAATTAAATAGGGAGATTGAATTATAATGTGCTACCACAAGGAATTATTACGTATACTAATTTAAACACTGGAATATTTTTCCATGTTTCCAATTTCAGTGCAATTTGCAGAACAAATTAAACAGGAATTTTTTTAGACGTGCACTTTTCTGAAACCCATTCTTTGGTTTATCTTAGACATGGAAAAATTTCATCCAGTGTATTTGGCAAATTCTTCTGAAAAAAAGGAATATGCTTGAAAAACTAGGAACCATTTTTAATTACTTGTTAATAGAAAAGAATCTCTGTATATAGTTAGTACAGAAAACACACTGTAATGTGAGGAAGAAACCTGTACTGTGAAAACTGTAGTTTATCAATCTTCATAGCATAAGAAATGTAGAGACCACAGTCCTTTCTTAATTTTTTCTCATTGCCTGAGGCAAGAAATTTGGACCTGGAAAAATGGATTCATTAATTCATTGCTTCAGTGGAAACTATCCACTTTTTGTAACTCCTTTTCATACTTCCCCTTCTTTAGACTGCTGCGTTTATATCAGCTCATCTTGACAGTTATCTAGACAGGCTCACGTGCCACATTTTCAGATCCACCCTGGAGAATCTGAAGATAACAATCCTTTCAAACTTAAATAGGGTGGGATTTTCTTAATAGGAGAGGGGATTCTTCTAACTCAATTTTAAAAGCTGCTTTGAGCGAACTATCTGGAATCTTTAAAGCCAATGGGGAGAAGTAAAAACTTGTATAATGCAAATCATCTGACCTGTGTTAGATCACAGAATGTGATGAGACACTAACTTCAGGCCCTGGGATGGATGTGGAGCAAATCCTCCTGGAAGCTGTGGAGGACAAGAAGTTAGAAACAGCCAGCGTGAATTTAGGAAGGGCAATTTTTGCCTCTCAAACCTGATTGTCTTCTATGATGAGATGGCTGAGGGAGGAAAGAGCCATCCCTGGTCTCAGATATTGGTCATACCTGGTCTGGATAGGTGAACTGTAAGCTAGACAGAAAATTGGTTGAACTGCCAGGTTCAATGTGCAGAGATCATCAGGATGAAGTTCAACTGGCAGCTGGTACTAGTGGCTCAGAGGTCAGTCCTGGGACCAATACTGCTTAATGACTTAATTAATCACCAAATTGGGGGTGAGCAGTTAATACCCTGGGGGCAAGGCTGCTCTGCAATGAGAGCTTGACAGACTGGAGATAAGGGCTGCAGAAACCTCAGGAAGTTCAGCAAAATCAAATGCAAAGTCTTGCACCTGAGGCAGAATAACCACACGTAACTGTGGCACACTGAGAAATGAGCAGCTTTGCAGAAAAGGACCTGGGATGGACATCATGTTAAACAGCAGAGCACAAAGATGATCTGCCACATATTGGGCTGTTTTAGCACGAGTCTGGCCAGCACATTGAGGCAATTCACTCTTCTGTTTTTGGTACCTGTGAGACTGAATCAGGAGTATTGTGTCTAGTTTGGGGCTCCCCGGTATCAGAAAGATATTAACATACTGGAGAGGGTCCAGCAAAGTGCCACCAAGATGGTCAGGGGACTGGAGAGGAGAGGCTGAGAGAATAGAGCTTGTTCTGTCTGGAGAAGAGAAGGTTAAAGGGAGGGTCTGATTGGGATCTAATTAGATCAGAGATCTAATTGTTGTCTTTAACTACTTAGTGGGAGGTTATGTGAGAAATGGAACTAATGTTTTCTGGTAGGCCCACAGTGAGAAAATGAGAGAGAACGAGTTGGCTGTGAGGGATATTCCAATTAGCTACCTTGGAAAAAAGATGACAGTGTGGGTGTATAGCATTGCAATAGATTGTCTAGAAAGGTTGTTGAATTGCCACCATTGGAAAAATTCAGAACTTGACTGGACAAGACGCCAAGCAACTTGGTCTATGTTGGAACAGCTGATCTTCAAGAGGTCCCTTCCAACGTACTTCGTTCTGTGTGTTTCTAGTATACAGGTGCTATCCAAGGCCAGGATAAAAGGCTCAGGATTTTCTCATAATGATAGCAATGAAACATTTCCAGAGAGATCTTCACTATGCCCCACGACAGAGTGGTGAAAAATGGTGAAAAGAAATAGATAATAGTCCTCAAATTCCCACTGGCAACAAGCGTGGTCCTGCCTGTCAGCATCAATGTGCTGGATTCACAAATACAAGTTCTTACCACTGCTTGTGTCAGGTCCCCAGGACCAAAAGCTGGAATCCCATTTTCACTAGTACCATATCTGGAAGAGGCTTACTGCTCATCATGGGTTTGCATTCACCTTGTCCTCAAGCAAGCCTAAATGAAGGAAGAGTGCTGACCAAAACAACCCAGTCTCCTGGAAGCCAAATTTCTCTGCTTTACGTACTGTGTGCAGTCAGTTGCCAGTGGTTATTAGGTGAGGTTCATTGTGTTACGGAGAGCAAGCTGTTGTTCTTACAAAACCCCTCCAAGATAAAAGAGAGAGTTATTTATGATATTGTAGTAAATGCAGATCATACAACCCATTCCCCTATACCTGATTTTTCGATCCCATAGCTACTACAGACTCATAATCTTATTTTATGTATTTCTTTTACCCAAGGATAATTCTGGTTGCCATCTGTTTTAATTCCTTCCTCAAAAAGGCAAGATAGATACCACAGAATTACATGTTAAGACAAGCTTGAAGTTGGGCTGAAGGCCTGCTTTAAATTTGTCACCTACGAGTTTTTGTATGGGTGACAATCTGCAATAGATACAGAAGAATAAAAAATCAGTGGTTTTCTGGGAAGGTGTTCTATTGAATGTGAATAATGCATTCTTTTCATTCATTTTATTTATTCAAGGTTGTTGTGAATGCACTCTTGGGAGCTATCCCCTCGATCTTGAACGTTTTGCTCGTCTGTATTGTCTTCTGGCTCCTATTTAACTTTGTAGGAGTAAAATTACTTGGAAAAAGATTTTCGAAATGCACACTCAAGAAAGGAAATATCAGTCTAATTGATAACAAATATAATTGTACGTTCTATAATGGAACATGGACAAATAATGATGTAAACTTTGATAATGTTGGGATGGGATACTTGGCTCTTCTCCAAGTGGTAAGTTCTATGAAAACGTGCTCAGTTTTGTTTTCTTCAAGGAAATGTGTTGAGCGGCCCAACCATGGGACACCACTACGTTTCTGTTTATCTCACTGAAATGGGGGATTTTTTTAGCTTCCATATTTTTCTTATCTCTAAGATGCTCAGTTCCTACTAAAGAATACTTTAGCATATGCAACCCTGTGTTAAAATCAAGCACTGTGCGTCATGGCTTTTCAACATACTAAGCCTGAAATAGTCTGCATGTTACCGGATTTAAAGTTATTCTCATTTTCTTTAGCAAAAGTTAGTTCAGAATGGATGAGAAAGAAAAAGCACGATGCAGTTTATTTATATTTCTATATTTTTTTTAATTGTATAAGTCATAAAGTATTGGAATGCTAATTTATTGATCTCCCTAATACCAGAACAAAGGAGAGAAAGGCATTTTTAAAAGTGGCTGTTATCCCTGTATCTTTTCTAGATGAAGTTCTCTGCCCTGTATCCTCCAAAGTGTTCTACGATTCTGCAGAGTTGCTAAAAATTGCAGGAAGGAATCATCTGCTGTTTTCTTAGGAACTGTTTTTATCCTTTTAGGATATATTTGCTAGTTAAGCTGAAACTTTTACTGCTTTTTCAAAAAGAAGAAAATTTACAAAAATTTTAATTTAACAAGAGTTAACATTAAGACACATTTCACAGGATTCATGGCAATTTTTTTTCTTTTCAGGAAATAATATTTCTTTTTCTCTTTACTAAACTCCAGTGAATCATACTTCCAGGCAGTTCTTTGGAAGTGATGCACATTTTTTATAGCACACTGCTTAGTTTTCCACAACTCTTAACACATTAGGTAGAGCTAATACAAATTTTAATTTGTTTTTACTTTAGTGATAATAACCTTAATAATGTGGTTTTTTCAGGCAACTTTTAAAGGTTGGATGGATATTATGTATGCAGCAGTGGATTCACGTGAGGTACGTCACTAAAATGAAATATCAGTTCTTTTCCCTTTCCTTCTTTCCTTTTCTATCCATACAATTAATTTTTCAGCTTTGTTTGCAATATCAAGTCAGAAGTACAAGCGGATGAATGCTTCAAACTACGCCGTGAAACAATAATCCTCGGAGTACCAAATATCTGGAACTTAAACAAAACTGGTCAAAATAGCGTGACACCACACAAAAACCTACTGTATCAAGAATGCAGAGGGCAAGATGTTGCAAGTTTTGGACAAGTCTGTTTTGGGAACAGAGATCAGAAGGTCTTGGAGGGACTGTGCCTCTGAAACAAATTTCCTACTTTTTTAAATGTGTACAGTAGCATTAAAACGACATGCATGTTTAGCAGTTATTTCTGGAGGTTTTCTTCCCCGTATTTGACATCCTTACTATTTCTTCTCCATTTCCCTGTGTTGTTTCTCCCTCTCTCACTAATACAATGTGTTTTAACTTTTCTATGTTTAATTTAATTTGCATTTTGCTTATTCATTCAAGCACTGTACTCTTGAATGTAGTGAAATAGCTGCTAATTAAAAGGATAATTCCTTGTAGGGCTGATCATAGTGAGCTGTTTTTTTAAAACTGCTTCGTGTCTGGGATAGCATTCAAGGGGATGGCGGTTCACCATTATGTTTAGTCTGAGCTGTTTTTCTAACCTAGGCATTCACAGTATCACTTCTGATTGGAACTGTTTATCTATTACTTAAGAATTTGCTAGAGCTGGATTTGGCTATGTGTCTTTGTAATTATCTTTACAAACAGTAACAAGACAGAACAAGACAGTTGTTTGACTTGTACATCTAAATAAAGGTTTAAATGTGTAGAAATAATTTATTCCTCCTGACAATAAAAAGATTTGTTATTATAAATTGGAAACGATAAAGCTGTGATTATCTGGTTTTTAACAATATTATTTTTCTATTTTGATTTTTTTAACAGATAGATGAACAGCCAAAGTTTGAAGCATGCTTAGCCATGTATATGTATTTTGTGATTTTCATTATTTTTGGATCTTTCTTCATGCTGAACCTTTTCATTGGAGTGGTTATCAGCAATTTTAACCAACAAAGGAAAAAGATAAGTACTACATGAGCTAATCCGGGGTCTCTTGTAATCCCAATTTGATTAAGTGAATGCTAGTTTGACATCTAGATGTCTAACATTTTTAGATAACTATTTGACTGGGGAAATTTAAAATCATGTTTAGAGACCAAGTTTTGAAAATAGGAGTCCCCTTTTCCTCAAAGCTTTTAGAATCATAATTAGTAATTTACCTGTAATTAGTAATTTACCTGTAAATTCTGTTTTCATGCCTTAATTTGTTCTAAGCAGGACAAGGAGGAAGGAGTAGGTAGTTTTAGAAAAGAGAAGCCAAAAACGTTATATAGACTTTGCTACAGGAGAGTGGAATTCATATCTTCTGCTTTGAAGATTTACTTTGGAGAGCAGAATAACCCTTTTTGCTGAGAGTAAACACCTAACAAATGTGATAAGGATAATCAAGAAACACTACGGCTCATGGGAGAAGTAACCACTGCTTTCCTGGTAAAGAAACTTGAAAAGATCTTGTTAATCAGAACTTCTAAAACTAGCTACATTTACAAAATCCTGTCATCAATAAAGTAACCCTACAGATTAATTTACTGGGTTTTTAAAAAATTCTGCATTGAGATCCAAGCCATGGCCCCAGGAGGCGGCCGTCTAGAAATTTAAAGGCTTCTTAAAGCTCATGAAGCACTGACTGCTTCCACTTTTCTCCTCGTATTTGTTAGATTCCCTGCTCTTTCGATTCATTAAGAAGTGGAAGGCAAAATCTTAGAATGGAAAACGCAACAACCAAAGAAAAGCAATAGTCAGCCTTCCCTGGTATACTTCAGCTTCTTTGTGCCAAGCTTATTTGTCAATTGAGTTCCCTCCCTGATTCATAGAGGGCCTTAAAGTATCCAGAATATCAGGGGAAATTGAGTCAATTAATCCACTTGGAAGTCTTAAAACAAATAAGCACGTTGTTCATTAGAAAAATACCACAAAAGCAGACCCCAACAGGAGGTTTACAATTTCAAGGTTCACATTTGGAAGACAGAATCTCTACAGGAGCCGTTTATTATTTCCATAAGCTGACTTATACACCAAGTGTCAAAGAATTACTGCCCTTGGTAAAGATAGATAGCAATAAGGCCCACAAGAAATTCTGCTCTCTGCATTTGAACAGAGGAAGGATATGTAAGGGTTGAGGAACAACAGTCCAACTTCACTATAATAGTTTCCTTTTACTACAAAGTCCCGATTATAACAGTCCCCACAGACAGAAACAACACTGGTTAAGTAGCTTATGAGCCTGAACACTTACTAGAAGTTGATCTGGACGTAACACTTTTTTTCTTTTCTCAGTACGTGCTGTAAGTGGGCATTTTTTTCTTTTTCATTTCTTTGCTGCTTCTTGGGGATTTTCATTGAGATTCCATATAATGAAGTTGAACTGAATTTTCAGAGGTCTTGCCAGAGTGATTCCAAGTGCAGATGCCCTACTGAACATTGTTATGTTTGTTTTACAAAATGCTAATCATTCAATGCTTTTATGACAAGTGGCTTCTCCTGAATACTCAGTTCAAAGTGATTGCTAAGTGATACAGGGGGCATAGATGGTAGTAAGATCAGCACCAGAAATTCATTATCAGGAACCCCCCATAGAACTTGGTCCCAAAGTGCTTATTCATAATCCTCCATTTACTTGGTAGCCCAGCAGTATACTTCCATTCCTACCTTTCCCAAAAATGTAAGTGGAAAGTATTTTACTTGTTGATGAGACTTATGTCACTTTAAAAATGTGAAATAGATTTGTAAAAGTTCAGAAAGGCTCTCATAGTTGAGGAAACTGGCTCGGGAACACTGCCTAGACTAGACTTTCACGATCAAACCCTGATGAGCTTTTTGCAGTACATCTTTTCAAAGAACAAGGGGAAAAGAAGAAATGGTGAAGACATATTTTGTCTCTGTGCTCTCTTAGATCCCACTCGCGACAGCTGTAACTTACTTTTTTTTACATAAACTTGCTGGTGTTTATTTAGTTGACTGCTTAAACCTCAGCTGAACAACAGTATTCTTTCCCTTTACTTAGGTGAAAAAGATCTATTTTTGACTGAGGAACAGAAAAAGTACTATAATGCCCTAAAAAAACTTGGATCAAAGAAACCTCAAAAACCCATCCCAAGACCATCGGTGAGACCATCTTAAGTAGAATATGATAGAAGATACAAAGAGCGTGACCATATTTAAACTCAGTAGCTGGGCATCTGGAAATAAACTTCATGTTTGAGCCCATCATCTTCCTTATCCAATACAGTATTTACATTTTACTGTCTTTTTCTTAATTCCATCTAATGCAGTCTTTCTTTGTGGGTATTAATTAAGGAAATTTACAGCCTATTTGTCACCTATTCAACTGTACAACCTATTTATAAAGGTTCATATTAAGTATTTGATATTCATAACATGATTTTGGTTACTTAAGTTGCATGATATTCCTTCTGCAACTAGATTGGATTATTGCAGGTGAGAATGAATAGTGAGTAGTACGTGCCCCATGGCTGTTATTTACTTTTAAATAATCTTATGCTTTATTTCTTATCGTTTCTTTAATTTAATTCAATGCCTGGCTTCACATAGTAACTATTCAGAGATTTTCTTGCTTATGACATTTTAATTAGAATTGCTTATCCTAAAATGTCTGCTTCAATAAATATTTCTACTAAAAGAGCAATCACAAGGTACTCTGAATATTTTCCTGCTGTATAATTTTTTTCTAAGGAGATGTGGTTGCATGATACCTGAAAATACTTAGCCAAGTCCTGAGTGTTTTCTTTGAAGGTCTAAAGAAATCACCTAAAACTGCTTCTAGTAGCTTATTGTTAAATTTATATTCTCTTAAATTCTCTTTCTAAGCACAAATTACTGATTAATATTTGAATGTAACCTGGGTCTTAGAAGTAACGTTAAGCAGTTCTTCTCGTTCTCTCCACAGAATGTGTTCCAAGGATTACTCTTTGATATAGTATCGCACAAAGCTTTTGACATTACCGTTGTGACTTTCATCTGTCTAAATATGGTCATTATGATGGCAGAAAATAGCCAGCATGACATCAAGGATGTTCTTAATAAAATCAACTACTTTTTTGTGGCTGTATTTACTGGGGAATGTGTCATAAAAATACTAGCCTTAAGACATTACTTCTTCACCAGTGGCTGGAACATATTTGATTTAGCTGTTGTGGTCCTTTCACTAGTTAGTAAGTATCAATTGTTATTAGATCAGGTAATGTGTCTTACCAATACTAAGCCAAATTTCAGTATGAAGTAACCACTTACATCTCTCTGATAAACAAATTCCAGATCCATTGTACTTTTTCAAACCATATGCGAAGTGGTTCCTTCTAAAAGGATATATTTTTGTTTTCCCTTATATTTTTGCAGAGTACTAAAAGGTAAATAGATATTTTTCAAATTTTCAAAAAATTTTTTTAAAGTATGAGTTTCTTTGAGTAATTAACAGAATAGGAATTTAATGTAATATCTTTTGGATATTAATGTAACATCTTTTCTAAGTTATTGTACTTAAACTGTTGCCTTAATGTTTTTATGCTTTCGATTTACATATAATCACATTAACTGTTGTTTTCACAGTAAAAGTAAATTCAGGTTAAAAATTCATTTGTATGAAAAATGGGAAAGATTTATTTTCCAGGACTTTCTTTTAAGAAGGCGGATCCTGAGGGCTGATTTAGAAAGCCCAGGAAAATTTAACTGCTCAGCACCATTCTAAATCTGGGCCGCTATTTGTGACTGTGAAAAGTCTTATTAAAATTGGCTTGGGTTTGTTTTGCTTTTCAAATAAGACTAGGTGCTTATCATTTTCTCTACAAAGGCTCACATATAGTTTTAGATTCTTGTACAGTTTATTTGGTCTGTGCTTCCTACTCAGGCTCAGGTTATATCATAGAATAAAGGATGGGAAAGCAAAACTGATCTGGGTTCGCTGCTTCATCCCTAGGCACAGTTACCCCTTTGCTATCCCATGCAACCCAGAAAAATGCTAACTTCTTAAGTCTTCCGTTTGTAATCATTTCCTTTACCACTGTATTGCTGAAGGTACTCATTACTCTGGTCGTAGGATCATAGAATGAGGTGTGAGGGAGGACGAATACTGAAAGACGGTTTTCCTTTATTTTCTTCTTGCTCTTCTCTGATCTCATTCACGTACCAAGCATTAATGAAAGTCTCACGTTTAGCATGTGGCTTAGGCCTGGAGAAGAAGCAGCAATCAGACAGCAGCTAGGAGACAAGCCCCATAGCTTCCAGCACAGGAGCTGAATGGATTTAAAAGGATTTTTTAAGAACTTGAGCAATGCGTAATTTCATCCCTTGAATTAATTAGAGAAATCTGGGAGAATGCAGTTTCCAAACTATCCATTATCTTGATAACTTTTTAATATTTAAAGGTATTACAATTTCTCTTTTCCTAAGCTCTTTTGTAAGTAATTACAGTATTGATGATAATGTGTTTGTTGAAAGTGATGTGATATGATCACTGTCACTTTCAACATCTGAAGCATAGAATATAACAAAATGGACATAAATAGGGAATTTCACTGATACGGCTTGACAACATTTTGTTTTCTTTTTCATTTCAAAGGTATTGGACTTTCTGAAGGCTTTCAAACTTTGTCTCCTACACTTTTGAGAATTTTTCGTTTGGCACGAATTGGCCGAATCCTGAGGTTAATTCGAAAAGCTAGAGGAATTCGAACTCTTCTTTTTGCATTACTGATGTCTCTTCCTGCACTGTTCAACATTGGCCTTCTGCTTTTTCTGGTTATGTTCATTTATGCCATTGTGGGCATGACAAACTTTGCCTGTCTTGGTTGGGAAGGTGGGATTGATAACCTTTTCAACTTTCAAACCTTTGAGGGCAGCATTCTCTGTCTCTTCCAAATTACAACGTCAGCTGGCTGGGATGGTCTTTTGGTCCCTCTGTTGAAAGGACCTGATTCATGCGCTCCCAACTTAAATTTAACAGATGAGCAGAAAAAAAATTGTGCAAATAAGGATGTTGGTATTTTATTTTTTGTAAGCTATGTTATTATATCATTTCTCATTGTTGTAAATATGTACATAGCTGTCATTTTAGAGAACTTCAGTGTTGCCACTGAAGAGAGCACAGATCCTCTTTGTGAGGATGACTTTGATATGTTTTATGAGACGTGGGGAAAGTTTGATCCTCAGGCAACACAGTTTATTAGATATTCTGCTCTTTCAGACTTTGCAGATGCTCTGGCAGAACCCTTACGCATTCCAAAGCCTAATAAAATTCAGCTCATATCCATGGACCTCCCTATAGTTAGTGGAGATAAGATCCACTGCTTGGATATCTTGCTTGCTTTCACTAAAAAGGTCTTGGGAGAATCTAGGGGTTTGGATGGTCTTGAATTACACATGGAAGAAAAATTTATGGCTGCCAATCCATCTAAAGTTTCTTACAAGCCAATTACGACTACCCTTAAAAGAAAACAAGAGGAGGTATCGGCTCTTATTATTCAAAGGGCCTTCAGGAGGTATTTGCAGCGTTCTTTTAAAAATAAATCTTTCTCATACCGTCATAAACGTTGTAACAGTGCTGTCTTTGAAGAAGAAACACGTGAGAAGGAAAGACTTATTGCATCAAGGCTTAATGAAGATAATGGTAGGAAGCTAGATAAATCACGGACTACATCTTCCATATCTCTCCCTTTATTTTATGATGGGATTGCTGAAACAGATAGCGATAACGTGAACACATAAAGCTGCCCCAGGCTGCAGCATTTTTTGATTAAACCGATATCAGTTATTTTCAGATGGAGAAAATATTTTGATCCCAGAGCATAATACTGTAAATTTAGAATAATGATGGCAGCCTTTAAGTATTGTGATTGTTCAATTTTGCAAATGCTCCTTAAAACAATTAAGATTTGAACAACTGTGTCACAAATATTAGAGGAAAATCAAACCATGGAATTTTTTTCCTCGGCTACTGGAGTAGGTGGGCTCATTTTTTACACCTGTCATTTTTTGTATTACTTCATATTTCTGTGTTCACAGAAGAAATCTGTAAAAGATCAGTTGTAACTGTAATATGATTTATAAGCACACAAGGCTGTAGAACAATGTATATCTCTTTAGAGGTAAAGCCTGGTTTGAAAAATTGGTTATTGTAGCAAAATTAAATAATTACTGCATTTTCTGTAAAAGAGCTCACTCAAGACGCGAGTATAATCAGCTGCTGATTTCTGTGTTGTTTGGGACCGTCTTCCTCCTAGTGCCTTTGGATGGATTTGTTTATGCTTAAGAATTTTTGAGGTGTCTTTACACGTGCACCTAAATGGATTTAACATATCATCCTCAGGTGTCTGTGCTTGAAAGTTGTATATAATTTGTTCTTTATATCATTCAGTGTATGAAAATTGTGATTTTGTTACCAAAATCAAAGGATGTTATGCAAGAGTTATTGTTCCCAGAAAATCTTAATTATTGTACATAAAAATTCATCATTATACTTCATCCAAATGTCATAGAAAGCATTACTTAGTAATCTGAAAAGGAGTTCGTGGTATATCTTAGGAGACGACATTTATTAAAGTTAGAGCAAGTATTTATTTCATTGGTTCTGAAAAAAAGAATGTATGAATAATGTGTATTAATAGTACTTTTACTGGTGTTTTGCAGTTTAGGTTGGTCAGGTGAAGTGTCATGGTGGCCTCAGAACTACTGATGAAATAAGACTATTTTAGATTCTTCAATAAAGAGTTCAGATGCTTAACGCATTTTTGTCTGTTTTGTAAGAGGTATCTTCAGTTTCAGTTTATTACAAGACATAATTTGTTATTAGAGGGGTAGAACCACAATAATATAATTTTCCAAAAATAGCTACCTATTAGCACAAGAAACCTGAAAATGTTTTACTTTTTACAGGGAATCAGAAAAGATTTAGCATTTTTCAGGCCAAGAATAGCAGGAACAATAAGGTAGTTCCTCAATTTTTACTGTCACTTGCCTTGTTAAATACTGTTAAAATATGGGAGATATAGTCAAATCTAAGCCATTTGTAGGACAAATAAAGGCACGTGAAAGCTGAGAGTTAAAGAGTTCAGATACAGTACGGCTTGAACTGGCTTCATTGCTTCCAGAACCAGCTTCTCTTCAGAAAAAGGCTGACAAAGGAGGTCTGCAGACCTCTTGGGATAGCTCAGAAATGGGCACTTGGTGTCAGCAGCGCTGGGCAGCAGGACGCAGAGAGACTCGATGGGTCTGCTTGGGTCCTGCTCCTCTCCAGCTCGGATTGCTGTTGTGCCTGCGGTGCACAGTGATGCTTTTGAGGTGAAACTATTCACTCTGTTTGGTGTGGGCAGCTGGCATGGGCCGACAGCTTTTGTTCAACGATCAGATACCATTAGATGGCAGCATTTACTACGTTTTAGAATATAGCCAGTCTTAAGTGAAACAGATGTCGAGCTCCTACACTTCAACATGGAGGTATTAAATTAATTGTAAACAAATATAGAAAATAATGTCATAACTCTTTTTTTCTGTCCCGGGCTCTCAAGCTAGCCACAGCTCTCAGTGGGTGCTTGTTCGCTGGCTGTTCTGGTTTTTACGTCTGACAGACTGGCAGACCTTAATGATTGTGAGGTACTGCCTCCTGGAAAAAAACAACCACCCAACATTCTCCTCGGTGCTTGGATCTTCCAGGAGGGTAGTTTCAAGCATAACTCTGTAACACTCTAGCAAGAAATGTTTGTTAGGAAAGAGATAAGAGTGCTTTGTTCTTGCGTATTGGAAAAGAAGGAAAAACTGCAAAAGCCATATGAGAGAATTTTAAATAGTAATAATATGTAACAAAACGCCAATTTTTTTTTTAATTAATCTGATCTTTACAATTTAAAATTATGTTGTTTGAGTGCAACAGCAGGTGCTGTGCCCTGGTCCAGAATTAGAAATACTTCAAAGGCGAACGCTTTTATTTCCATTGTAGGGGCAGCAGTTTTGGACAGAACCACACCTGGCATAAACACATCCATAGTGATTATTTTACCTCAGAAACATGCAAAAGCACCTGAATTCACCACAGCGCAAATTTAAAAGTCTGACCAATATTTTAGTATTGCTTAAGCATTAAAGTAGCCTTAGCACACTATTGCAGGGTTGAAAAGAGAACGGTGATATCCAGCTGTTGCAGCTTCTTCGTGCTGGAATTGCCCAAAAGCCAGTTCAGCCGCTGAAGCAAAGTAGAGGTTTGCTAAAATTGCCTGGACATACGTGAACTTCATGAGAGGTGGTCAGGCATGCTTGGAACACAGCGAAAGAATATTCCTTTCTGTTTATGAAGTCTGATGCTTAAATCAGAGCACAGCAAAACCAAAGGAATATTGGATCCCTCCGGTCAGGAAACACTGTGCGTGTAAAGCTACCAGTGAATTCCTGAGGACCAGCTATACAATACATAGCAACGTTGCCTCCTTAGTGGTGGTGCAGAACTCCGTTATTCCATTTCCATTTATCACTTTCCTGTGTAGAAAGAGTTCGCAACTGACCACCGGTAATTAAGAGTTTTCTCCTACTTGTGTGATAGCCCTGTATCCCTGAGAACAGGCTCCGTAAAGGTTTTGTGGAAACCGTATGTAGTTAAGTTCTTTGAAATGTACCAGAAAGAGCATCTCATCCTGGCATCTTTTCTCTGAACGTACCAGAGGTTATTGTGCTTGACAAGTGTCCCCTCTGCAATGTCACTTTCCACAGCCATCAGTGAGGTAAACGTTCTCTCCCAACTTAAGAGATCCCTGCAACTTATGTTATGCGAGAAGACATGCCAAAATACGCTTTTCTAACGCAGAGTGAATGTTCCCGTAAGAATAGCACGCTCGATGATTGTAGCAGCTTTAGGCAGAGGTCAGGTTTATTACTAGAAATGATGAAGAAGAGGTCTATCACACTATGCTGAAACCGAGTAGAACAAATTTTTCAACATTTAGGAAAAAAGTTAGAAAGATGGAGGAATTGTTTTTAAATACTATTGATAATTACCGCCAGCTAATAGCAAGTCTGACTTAGACTTGCTTCAGCAGGCTCCACAGATGTATTTTCTGAAGTCTGTCTGTCTCACCTGCCGGGGAAAGGTTCTGCCAATTGCTTCAGAGAGATGAACAATAAAATGGGCCTGGCACATGCAGAGCTGCCCATTTTGCTCCTCAGAACATGGACCGCCCTATGTATGAACACCCTCCACCCTACCGCAGAGTATCTGCTGATGGGTAACATCCGTTCCAGCTGCCGGTCCCCTTCTGCCTTGGAGATACCTTGGAGAACTGAACAGAGATACTGTAGTTACTGAGACCTAAATCAGCAAGCATGTTGCTGCCCTGGCAGGTAGGATCGCCCTGTTTTGGGCAGGTCTCACTCCAGTGAGCCTTCTCCGGTTTCCCAGCCTTCTTCCTTTTTACTGTTTAACATTAGCTTAATGTACTCTCTGCGAAGCCTGTGTGGTGGAAGCCCGTGCAAAGACTGCCTGTGCCAGCCAAAACTTACGTGCATGTTAACTGACTTGGCTTTTACATGCAGATAATGGCGTGGAAGGAAGAACTGTTTGACTTTCTGCCATCTCTCCCTTCTCCTTTCTTCTCATATCTGAACGAATTGGATGGTTTCTTCAGTTATTCCTACGTCTGGATAACTCTTCAGTTTCGGTAGCTTAACAGTTGCTGAATTCACAAATTCATGGTTATTGATATTTTTTAGTAGCGTTATAAAAAGTCATTGCCTGGCTTGCATTTCATCAACACCAAGAATGATAGAGAAACATAATAGGAAATTAAGAATGGAGTATCAGTAATCCCATTAGCCCATTCACTTATCACAGTATCTCATCACAGATGCAAGATAAAGGTAAGAAAACGTCAGGGATTGTGATGACTGACCGAATAACAGCATAACAATCCTTCCCCTTTGGTATCCCTAAGTGTCATCAATTTCTAGCAAGAGGAGGATAGCCTGAAATGAGAGATTAGAAGAACAAGAAAGGGAACAACAAAAAGGTCAGATGGATTGTTTGGAAGCAGCCGGTACAAAAGAAACCTTGAACAGGGAAGAGTAGTTCAGGAAAAGAGAATGGAAATGGATGGGGAGCAGAGATGAACTTTGGATGAGAAAGGACTATCTGTTGTGTTGGATACACACTTCAGGAATCACTGGCAATCACATATTGCCCGCTAAATCTAGGGAGGTTGAAAAGAGCATCCATTATGCTTTCCCTGCCCACATAACAAACAAAAGATTTTAGTTCCAGAAGTGAAAACTATATCATAAAAAAAGACTCCACCAGTATCGCAGACGTCTATATTCCTCAGAAATCCATAAGCAGTTCCCAGCAAATTGTTTTATTAGACCTACACTGGAAGGCAAAATGTCCGATATTTCTGATACTTTGAACAGAAGGAAAATTCCTACTTCATCTTCCATCTGGCAACAAAATAGTCTAAGTTTTGCTTTAAATGGGCATATACTGTCCCAGTTTATCTCAGGTTTTACTAATTCAACCACAGCTTTCCAGTGCTCTACTACCAAGTTGTAGTCATAAATGATTAAGAATCTGTTGCAAATTAGTGCAACTGGAGTACTGTCCAGTTTGGGACTCCTCAAAACAAGAGACATTGTCATGGTTTAACCTCAGTCGGCAACTGAGCCCCACGCAGCCGCTCGCTCACTCCTCCCTGCCCCCAGTGGGATGGGGGAGAGAATTGGAAGAGCCCAAG